AACATATATTTTTTTCATATCTAAGGTCCGTAAAAATATGAAAAATTACTTTAACAATGGCGTGAGCTCAAATCGGATATCAAAATTTTGAAGTTTCTGCAGAAAGTATTCTCAAACAATGATTACTCCAAGTGAAAGATCTCAGTGTTTCATGTTTTGGTTACTTTGATGTTCCAATTCTTGACTGTTATCAGTGACCGTCCCGCATCGCTGGGGAGTTTCAATCACCCACATTCGTTGTCTCCGCAACGTAGCCACAACCACAAGATGGCACGCGTTTGATGTGTCCTTTTGATCAGAAAGCCTTCCGCACACGGCAAATTGGCAACTGTGGGGAGGGGGCGAGCCTTCTGAGCCTTCCCCTGCCTTTGATCAACTGCCTCAAACGGGCCCTATAGTTTGATGAACACTGGCCGTTTTATCTGGTAGAATGTGTCGTCTTTAGGAGCTGTAAATTCGAGTAAATTGTCTTGACCATGACCAACACGTAATCTCTAGTGCTTGCGATGTGGTTTTGTGACATGCATGCCTCTTAGGTAGAAATCTGTGAAATGCAAGCCGTGTTTGTTGTATAGTGTATATCAAGCAATTGTTAATGACGTTCTATACATCAGGGTATTTATTCGCCACGGTTTTTAACATGATTTTTGGATTGGTTCTTCTATTATTTAGGCGAACGTCGGCTACAATCAACACTGAGCTACCTATTGTCTATTTGTGATACGAAAACATTTAGCAAAAAGAGATTTGATTCGGTAAAAATTGATTGTTAAATAACTAGTTATTTAAGCAGCGCAAATTGATATATTTCGACAACCTTGACTAAATTTAGTATTATTAATATACCCAGTTCCGTTCATAATTTTTGAAATAAAAATTCTCATCTGAATTAAGAATTAAGCTCTAACTAACTTTTAAACCCCAACTTTGGCTAGTGAAGCTTAAAATACTTTTCAATCCATTTCTAGTACTTTGCCAAGGGTCAAAATTTGCTATTAAAAGAAAATAATTCTTGGTCGGAGACTGGATTTAAATCGGAATTATCAAGAGTACGTCACAAGCAACAAGCGGAGACGGCCGGTACTCTTGTTCAAATCCTGGCAAGCTCGTCATCAATTAAATCGGTTTCACTTCAGTAAATTCCTAAATACAACATGCATCACTCTTCATAAGTTAACTTGTGATTTCGAACGGATTCTCAATGAGTATGCGTATTAAGCCGTTCATGATTAGTTTTTTAGATGCCCCAACATAAAACATTCGAACGGATTCCCAATGACCAGAAGTTTTAATAAGCACAAATACATAACATTCGAACACATTTTCAAAGACTAGAGTTCTATTCAGATGCACCACTATATAATATTCAAACGGATTCTCAAAGACTATTGAGAGCTCTATTCAGATACACCACTATAAATATAATATTCAGACGGATTTTCAAAGACTGTAGAGAGCTCTATTCAGATGCACCACTATATATATAATATTCAAACGGATTCTCAAAGACTATAGAGAGCTCTGTTCAGATGCACCACTATATAATATTCGAGCGGATTCTCGATGACTAAAGGACTTATTTAGATGCACCAATATATAATATTAGAACGGATTCTCAATGACTAGAGTCTTTTCGAGGAGCATCAATATATAGCATTCGAACGGATTCTCACTGACTGATGCTTGTCCGAAGCGTCAAGATCAAAAATCATGATTTCGGGTCACTCTATATATCATTTATTGTTCACCTTCAATAACATGACTGCATATACACTGACAGTGTACAGCGCCTCATACAACATCTGTGGCAGTTAATACAGCTACATCTGCAGCGTCTTACATAACAGCAGCATCATCTAAATTCTAATAAAGCAACATCTATATATGTAAGTGAATGATTCTGACTAATTTTGAAAACTAAAGCATTAGGCAGCACACGTTGAACTAATGACAAAATATTCATCATGAATTTTAATTGTGATTGCATCCGAATTTTCATACATGTCTCAAAGTAGCATACTAATAATTTAATACTAACATTTAATTTTTATTTTCATTACGTTTATTTTTTATTTACGACTTCTTTATCAACATTTTATTTAACCACGAGTTAGTTGAGTCGAGTTGAGTCGAGTTGAGTGGAGTTGAGTCGAGTTGAGTCGAGTTGAGTCGAGTTGAGTGGAGTTGAGTGGAGTTGAGTCGAGTTGAGTCGAGTTGGGTCGAGTTGAGTCGAGTTGAGTCAAGTTTAGTCGAGTTGAGTCGAGTTGAGTCGAGTTGAGTCGAGTTGAGTCGAGTTGAGTCGAATTGAGTCGAGTTGAGTTGAGTTGAGCCGAGTTGAGTTGAGTCGAGTTGAGTCGAGATGAGTCGAATTGAGTCGAGTTGAGTCGAGTTGAGCCGAGTTGAGTTGAGTCAAGTTGAGTCGGGTTGAGTCGAGTTGAGTTGAGTTGAATATAGCTGAGTCGAGTTGAGTAGAGTTGAGTCGAGTTTAGTAGAGTTGAGTCGAGTTGAGCCGAGTTGAGTTGAGTCGTATTGAGTCGAGTTGAGTCGAGTTGAGTCGAGTTGAGTTGAGTTGAGTCGAGTTGAGTCGAGTTGAGTCGAGTTGAGTCGAGTTAAGTCAAGTTGAGTCGAGTTGAGTTGGGCAGATTCAACCGACAACACTTTGTCACACAACTCGACTCAACTCAGTATTTCTTCTTATATAAGTTCTATGTGCGTTCTGCATAGCCTGCATTTTTCCAAGGGGGAATAATGTTTTATATATGGTTGTAAGCTGACGGAAAAACGCACTACTTCGCAATTCTGCTTCAAAATTCTAAGCGGCAGCCATCGTGTAATTTCTTTGAATTGCTCTGAAATATCTGACGAAGGATCTATTCCCAGAGTAGGTTTTAATTTAAATGACGAATGCTGTGCTGACATTCCCACGTCCCTCGAGAACGTCCTTCCGTGGGAGCGGAATTTTGCGAGACTTGAAATACAGAAATCGTTCGCCAAAAAAACGTTACTCATAAAAAATCACCAGTGAGGGGAATTCAACACACGTTAGTAATTATGACGCAATAATTTACTTGACTTACACACTCGTAAATACCAGATGATTTGAGCTTTATTTTACTTAGAATTAACGATGGCAATTAAATTGTAAGTAACAGCAATCTTTGTTCGTCAAATAATTAAAATTTAATGATAAATAGTAATACTCCTTCTGCTACTTGGTAAAGCAACTATGAGTATCTGGAAATGTTTTTTTATATCCTCCAGCATCGGTCAAGGCCATGACGATATGTAAGTAAAATATTTCTACCTGTAGTGAAATGTGATCGAACTGTCATGTCGCCATGTCATATTAGTGGACATTCTGGGCCTTCCATGTTTAGCAGAAATTAAACCCGTCTGCCATGTTTAGTTGAATATATACCCTTCTAATATGATTCATTCAAATTAAACTTGCTTACTAAAGTCAATTGAAATCAAACCCATGTACAAATGGTTTGTTTAAACCATAATTATATATAAATTTAATTCATGAACTTCAGCGGATCAGTGTTCTACTAGCTGAAGCAAAAGCATTGAACTCACTTCGTAAGATCTCTAATGGTTCTTTTGAGCCTCAAAGGTTCTTTTGCTCCTGCACTTCTCGTATCAGTATTGATGGCCTTCAATGTCTGGCACTCCCTCGGCACTGCGCTTGTAGGCTTTGCTGCGGTACATTACATAGCAGCTTTGAGCCACATGGAAAACAAAATTCCTGGTAAAATCAAATTACTATTAAAAAGTAGCATGTTAACAATTCTTGTTAAAGAGACATTTCCTGCAATGAAAGCATTACGTGTTATTATACCCCATGAGAGAGCGTCAGTGATGATATATGATAAAATAAACTGCTTTCTCCTAGATATTTTCTATGATTAGTCAGCTGAGAAATGTTGTTTCCTGCTCAATTGCGGGTGCTACTCTATAAATTCAGCAGAAAAGTCTACATTTTCGGTTCTCTTGCCTCGTGTTCGCATCGCTGTGTAACAGATGTTTTTCAGCAATCTGTGAACATTTAGCTACGAAGCAAAATAATTCCAGATTTTCCCAGCCAGGAGGCAATAATTGCCATTGCAGTCGCGGCGGGCAAAATGTGATTATCGCACATTTCCCACGAGTAAAAATTTTTAACATAATTAAAGTGTTTCATGATAACCTTTCTCAATCTTTAATAGCGTAACCGACAACAATCTTTATCTTACATTACGAACTTCTGTTTTAGGTAGTGGGGGGCTTGTGCTACATTTTCAATAGATTTCCCCCACAAATCTCACTTGTCTCCCTTCATAAGTTTTCTTTCTGTGAATGCAATCATGCAACGCACACAAAGCTCTCTGTCCAGCTTAAGCAACATCTGCTTCTGAAATTCAATAATCTGCAAATGATTAATAAATTGCATGACAACCTTCTGTGAGCAAAAAATCTGTCTCATTTATAATCAATTCGTAAAACAATATTAAATTTGACAATTTTAGGTGGCCTATACATGCAAGATTGTTGTAGTTTGGCAGAAGTTGTTCTTTAATGCAGGTTTCATTGAAGACCAGCGAGTATTTCTTATTGAGAATTTTCTTATTCTTCTTCTCTATTTGGCAAATTAGGCTCATAATAGGAATTGAAAACTGGAATTTTAGCAATGAAAACAATAAGAAAATATCGAAAAACAATAAAAAAATTGTCAATAAGAAATACTCTCTGGTCTTCAATGAAACATGCAAAATTGAAAACGTCTATTTCGTAATCTGAAGCTACTTTTCTTTCCACAGCTATTGCACTAAAGTTTTAAAGATATCCAACCCGATATTAAATGAATATTATTATTCTGATTCGGATATACACAAAAATGTGAACGCGTCGTTCCTGAAAAGAATCGGAACCTAAACTCGAGCAGCGGCAGGTCATTTATACAGGCGCAGCAAATCAATGAAAGCTCTGCGCAGTGGCACGCGTGCGCCAGTGCCCTCTGTGACGCGATGAAGTGTGGTGTGTCTCGAGCGCTGTTCTTCTGCGGTAAGTCCGAACAACGTGAAAATATTCACTGGAACACCATATGTATCCAATGTTGTTCTAGATAATCGAATAATGTTTAATGAAATAATCACATATGTATACGGCTTAAAGATAGAATTCGTCTGATAGACTCAGCCTATTAGTGTTCCTTCTTCAATTTACTATATAATGTAATCATTTTATGCAGTACCAAATGTAATAATCGTTTTATTCAGTATTCGAGTCAAGCCTACGGATATTGACTCGAACATTTCGTTTACTCAGTAAAAGAAGATGGGATGGATGATTGTTTGCTATTTACTAGGAGAACTAGTATTAGAGAGAGTATAGCTGCAAAGTACTAGGTGTGTCGATTTTCCATTGGGAGTACATAGTCCATGTTGCCCTTATTTCATAGTTACAAAAGTTTCTTGCAAGAGAGAAACTAAAGCTTTGAGGCTCATATTAAGTTTACTTTTTCATCGTGAAGAAATTTGTGCGGTAGACGCTAAATTTTTTACTAAACTAATTTGTAAACTTATTTACATTCTACCTCCACCTTATTCTATTTGCGACGCATTACTTCGGGTAAAATTACTCATCGCATTACCGATGGTCAAATTTTACAGGCCACTGTTCAATTCTATTACTCAGCTTTCCAGTTACTAAAATTTCCTGATTATTAAATGAAATGATCGATGTGAAGCCTCCAATAACAATGAAGCAGCGACATTACAGTAACTGATTTACGGGACCTCTACTAACAATAAAGTAACGACATTGTTGCGACCAATACAAAGCCGAGCCTCCATAACAATAAGGTAGCAATAATACAGCAGGCAATATATGGGGCTTCGGATAACAATTAAATAGCGAGATTACAGCAATAACAATATAGCATCTGCTATTATTATCGTATCAACATTGGAGCAACCAAACTATGATCTCTATAATAGCCATAAAGTAGCGACGTTACAGAAGGCGAACTAAAGCAAAAAAGCCGTTACTAACCATTATGTAGCAACCTTACAGCTACCGAAACAGGCCTAATAGAGCGATAAAGAAACGACATATTACAGCTAAGAACATATCACAAGCGTCGTAAATGCTTCCACAGCTATCTTTCAGATGCCTTTATGCTGTTACACTTTACAGTTGTTCTCGAAGTTAAAGTGTTAACATGTGTGACGATTTCTAGAAGCGTTGACTTCCTAGTTACATTGCGTTAGAACGCTTGTAATCGCATGGAATTCAAGAAAAATAGCAGCAGGGACTGGAAATATTATTACACCAACTGACTAAAACTTATTCGCCTCCCTGTTTCACGTTTATAAGAGACTCTTTTTAGAGAAAAGTCGCATCGGTTGTCTCGTTTCCCTTTTTACATCGGCTCCCGAGTAAAAATTTTGCTAAAATTTATTTTAAAAATTGTGTCAAAGATAGCAAGAGGAAGCAGCTGGTTTCATAATTGCCAATAACTTTGCGAGTAATTGGTAAATTTTAACGGCAATCGAAGAATTTAATATAATCTGAAAAGAGAAATCATTAAAAAAAATTGCTTCATGCTCATGACCACCTGTCTTTATGACCATAATTGACCATATTTAAGTACTAGCGTGCCTACCAATTGAAAAAATCTTCTATCGTATCAAATGTTATCCCTCAGCGCTGGTCGCCGGCAGCGGCTGCTCTCCTGCCCCGACGTCAGCTCCCTTGACAGCCCAGGAGCAGACCAACGAGCCTGCCAAGATGTCAACGTCCAGAGGCAGCGAGGCAATGACAAGCGGCAGCGAGGAGGCTGCCGAGGCCACTCGACACACGGCGCCGACCATCATCAACAAGTTGCGCGACGTAAGCGAGCCTGCATCGCATGAGAACAACAATGCAGCCGAAGAGCTCGACGGTGATGCCGGTATCCCGAAACTCATGGGGACCCGCGATGAGAACGATGCTGATGAGCATGACGACGATGAAGAGAAGTCAGATGCGTACATAGACAGTAAAGCACCAAAAATGAACGGGGAAATCAAGTCTAAAGTTTCGCCGTCTAAGCGGGCGAGTGAAGTGGTTTTGCCTGCTACTGTGATCGCCGTCTCTGAGGAGGACTTCCACGACTGGCCCGAGAGTTTGCCTACACCGGTCGCGCAGACAAACGGTCAGTCCACGTCTGATACTCTGAACCTTAGTAAGTATTCACAAAAATTATTTGTGGTTATTATCAAAGATTAACTTCAACTAATTTTTTCAGCGACTGGAATTACGTCGGGCACCACGTAGAAACTTTACTTAACTGTGCTGATTAGATCAGTCAAGGTTTGAGACGAGAATCGCACCAACAAACAATATCATCTGTCAGGAGTACTATCACTTCAGTAACTTTTTACAACTTCAATTCAGACTATAAGTAATTCTACTGCCTTCGGCTACCGAACAATTGCTAGATTTTGTTTATATTTAAGAAGCGTGACATGTAACCATTTCTGAGTATTGAGCGAAACTTCGGTTTATCTCATTGTTTTCATCTTGTAACGTCGTATCAGGATAGCGTCTAATAGTGATGAATGGCTGAATGGCTTGCAGGAGCGACAGGCAAGCAGCGCAGTGACGGTACCTACGTCATCACCGACAGCGAGGAATATCCCTGTGTTCTGGCCAGCTTCAAGTTCAAGATCACCATCTACTACCCGGCAGTTGCCCAAGGAGATGCAGAAAAAACCAAAGTCAGAATTTCTAAGTTTTTTCAACACTTGTTCTCATTTCAATATGATTGATGTCATTTTGAAATGGTAAAAGATTTTCGGGTCAGACTTCAGAAGCTTGCATCCTTCTAAGAACCAAATTTTACGAGTTAATATATTCCAAAATCACAAGTAATTCATAGCATAACGCAAAACACGATCATGCTACATGATTCTACCAGGCAGTGACATATCTTACGACATTCCTACCTAATTCTACCCAGAACGTGGCCATGAGCCCTCCTGACGACGCGACCGTGTCAGGCACGTGTGATAGAGAAGCCCAGGTCGCCACGCTCGAGATTACCTGGAAGCCGGGGACCTTCATAATTGGTCAGTATCTAGCCCACGCAGCTATGGTATACAGAATATTTTAGATTATTAGAGCGAAAACACTTCTAGGCTTACATTTTCAAAAATTTCTTATTCACTGTCAATGCTGATTGAAAAAGAGACCGTTCAAAGGTATTTCCCGATTATAAGTGATTCGGAAATTATTCTCTAATATCCTATGTGGTCCAGAATGACCGGACTTTGTTGCGCTCACGAATTTAAAATATCAGATGAGACAGTGAGTGTCCTTTCCCAACGCCGCAAAAAGCTAGATGATCTATTTTTGTTCGCAGAATAATGATTTTACGTTTTAATTTATATATTATACTTTTGTGAATGATATTATACAGATTCCAAATGTTTCAAGGTCGCGCAGATTCAAGCTGTATAATTAGTCAATAATGGCTTTCGTTCCGGTACGTTCATCGTACGTATATTTTTTTGATAGAAATATTTCGTGATTTTCCACTTTGCTTTAATTGCCATTCAACGAAGTTTCAATCCCTCTACAGAGGTTGCGATTGTTGCCCCGAAAGTTTTCTGTATTATAGCTGCAATTAGTTTTTACATAAAGTTTTCTTATAATTTACATCTAATGCCGATATAAAATGGATCATTTGCTCTTTATATATTGAGTGGAGTATTATATTTGGGATTATTGATATGAGATTATTTATTATTTGATACGAAATTTTGTAACCGCTTCTAGCTCACTATTATGGGTGTTCTTTCTGCTTGCTTGAAATCTTATGACTGAATATTTCGCAATAAAAAATTCAACCTCAATTCGTTCTAAGACAGAAAAATTTCATTGATTGCTGAGGTCCTGAGTATGAACAGACAAAGTGACGACCAAATCTTATTCCTCCCAGGCTTTGACTTCGACACCTTGACGGACTCTTGGTACGTCTCCAGCTTCCAGTTCGCATTCAACTCCGGCAATGCATATTACGTAGACTCGAAAACAGGTTTGTTGCCAGATAACCGAGTGTCATAGGCAATATCTATTAATTGATAGCTAATATAATAGGTTAGCTATTGAGCATTGCAAAGTTTTCGTATACGTCAAAAGCATTCACTTTTTCTACTTTCAGTCAAGTAGTGCAGTGCAGTGTTACTAATGCCAAGCTTCAGTTCTTCATTGCAGTTTGGTAAGTTTCCGTTACATTTAAAATTCTGTGCAGAAAAAGAAATGGTCGTGAAGAGTGAAGAGGGCAAGCGTTTTTGGATGACGAGTCACGCGCGCTCCTTCCGCTGCTCGCTGCTGCACGACATCCCGCTGACGGCGGACGAGGGGCGCTTCTCAGGCTCCATCCACTTCGACGAGGTGCGCGTGCAGGCGCTCACCTACGGCGACAGGTTCAAGACGCGTGAGTCTAATCAGGCTACATAGATGGGAATTATGATTATTAAACGGGTGACAACAAGAAGTTAGGCTTTAATAGTTTATACTTCTAGAGGTATTTTCAGAGTAAGTACCGTTATTAAATAACGCCGACGCAGCGCGGCGGACATCGTTTAGAGCATATGTGCCGTGTTGATATGTTGGGAAGCCACGGACGCCATTACAGGACCATCCGATCTACTTTATGTCTATTTACGTGGTTTTAAAATGCCTCCATCTATTGAGAATCTCGCCGACTGCGAAGTGCATGCATTTTCCCTGTGCTCCACTCCAAGCTTTAAATTTGTTGACATTCATCGCCAAAACAGTGAAGTGTTTGGTAAAAACATTACGAGTGCTGGAATGGTGCAGAAATGAACTGGGGCATTTAAAGATGGTTGCACAAACTAATAGGGAGACCTTCAGTCATTACCGATGATCTGACGCGAAACGTAGACTGTAAAGTGTAAGGGAACAGACAATTCACGATTCCTCAGCAGAAAAGTTTCCTGCAGCCTCATGAGTGCTCTTTACGAAAATTATCTAGTCAGGACTCAGGAGACAAGCTTCTTTGACGATGGCATAGGGAAGCTGGTCCAAAAATACGATAACTGCCTCAATAGTAATGGAATTATGTAGAAAATTAGAGTAAAGTATGGCCTTTCAAGTGAATACTTTTTCTACATTTTTTATGGCAAAACGGTACTTGCCGTAAAAACACGCCAAGTAGTTAAGGATTATTGATTTGAAGTCAATGAGGCAGCTCACTTAATCTTACAAATTTGCGCAGAAAGTTTTATCTGGTCCATTTTCCAATGTTCTGCAATCTTCAGTAAATTTTAACCATAAATTGATTTATCAATTGATGAGCGGAGTGGGATAATTCTCGACACGTTGGCGATGGAGTGCATAAAAATCTTGGAGGCAATAATGTTAATTTCAGATTGTTTTCAGTTGAGAAAATACACCAAATTTATTTATATGGCAAACTTAGGAGACTAGAAATATTTTGACGTGAGTGAAGAATCGTTCATTGCGACTACGTTTCTATGCCGTTGCGCGAAAGGTAAATACAGGATTATTCAGGACCCTATTTAATAAATCCTTTTTATTCATCTAAATGTCGAAATGAATAAATCATGCACCTATTGAAAGAGAAAGATTCAAAACTTTTTAACCTATTCAAACCTCTTTTAACCTATTTACCCATTGGCATTTTGGTATCCGAAACTTTTTGAATGAGTCACTGCCTAATTGCGTTGGGTAGGACGCACTGGAAATGAAGATCTGGCTCTACACTTCTGGCCACCGAGATCACGTGATCTCATGTGACTATTCCTTATGGGGTTACGTCAATTAAGGAAGCTGTCTACGTCCTGCCTCTACCAACAACTCTGGTTGATAAAAAAAATGAATCTTTCTATATCATTGGTTTAAAAATTATTTAAAATTTACTGTTAAATAAATACGATTTTATGAATTGGTTCCATCATTTAGGATAACCCTGTATAATCTTTACTTCCTGAGCCTTTTCTTCTCAAATCATAAGCACACTGTCGTGTTTCACATGTCAAAAGTTATATGCCGTTTTTATGGAGTTGATATATGAAAGTGTTCCATGTTGAAGTAACTTGTCTGTTTCCGAGAAAATATATGTGTGGCACTATCAGTAATTGTTGTTTCCATACAGCGAAGCACTGCATGCACAGAGTGCAGCGGGACGAGAAAGTTCCTCTGATAGTTGGCAGTACACTGGCTGCCCTCTCCGCCTGCACCATTGGTGTCTACGCTGCCATCCGGTACTACAAAATAAAGAAGGTCCAATACGACACCATGCATTAAAAGTGCATCATCTGAAGCATCAATATTTATTGTTATCTCAATATCCTTCCATCTTAGGCCTGTTATTGTGACCAGTTCGGATAACAGATTATGCGAGTAAATATGCACTTAAACTTTGCACGAGCAAATTTCTCGCGCGTCAGCCTATAGAAATGAAGATAAAATGTATTTAGCTTCATAAAATTCTAGCTTCATTGTTTACATAGATTCTAATAGAAAAAAATAGTGAGAATATTCAAAGCCGAGGAGCCGCAATAGGAGACTATGATAATATTATATTGAGAGACAAATAGTGAAACAGTTTTTTAGGTTACATTTCTGCACATAGACAGTTCGTCCCAATTACACTTGTTGTAGCGTAAAAATGAATTTAAACGTTAATGAGCCACTAATATGCTACTATTTTCTTTCATTGTATTTAAACTCATAATTTAGATGTACATAAAGTGTTGTCAGTGGTGCCACTACTGTGCACTGACTATGTTTGTTTAGAAGATTGACCGCAAAATATTTAGACTTTGCCTCATGTAATGTTAACCGCAAAACTTATTTCATCAAATGAAAGTAAGTAGGCCAAATCTTTACCATAGTAAAAATAAAATATGCAAAACAAATTAAGCCCATGTGTACTAAAACCGCAGTAATTCGTTGAAATTCATAGCATTGATGTTGAGTGCTGTGAAACTCAAGATAATTTACCTGTTCTCGATGTCTCCAAAATTGCAAAAGAAATAAATATAACTCCTTTTGCTGCTTGAATTTCAACCATCAGCAAATTAAACACGACTCCCTTGCTAATGACCATATCATTCCAGACCATATCACCTATTACCACGAATAGTTAGATGAGGAGACATGGTCACTATTGAGATTGAAGATGTATTGATGCCACATAAACTCATGCAGGCTGTCTTCTAATAATTGTTTCAGCATGTAAGGTGCCTGCGTAATTTAGGTACTTCGATATTGAGAACTGAGCTTTCAAGCTCCAGCTAGAAAAAAAGAAACGGAATGTTTAGTATAATATTTATGTTTATAGTGCAGGATTGTGAAGTCTTTTATATACGGTGGGCAACTTATGAACTTCTTTTGAACGAAATGTTTTCCCTTATTGCTCTCCATATCATTGTGGCCCTGCCGCAATGATGACTTATATAGCCACAATGATATGGGCTGTGGCTTAGCCACAATGAAGCATATGTTTTTTTATTCGAGCTTGGTAGATGATTCATAGATTAGTTCATATCATTAATATTATAAATACAGAATGTTGGAATGTTATAATGCCGCTAACTTATGGTAAATTCCGTTGAAGAATTTTTGATGAAATATACACCTGCATGTCTGGGAAATTGCCCAAAGTTTGAATTTATTGATAACGTCGTGCAACTTTGCCAGGGCGTGTGTGAGTGTGTGTGTGTATAGTTTTATCCTGAATTCGTGCGTGGCGTGTAGTTTCATGTACTGCATTAAAGTATGTAAAGTTATTTCGTTATCTCAATGTTTGTACTATAAGTGATGCCCACTGCATTCAAACAGACATAAGAAATAAGAAAAAAGTTAAGCACATTGAATAAAATTTTGCCTCTTCAAATAACTTTTCACTCACAACTCGTATTTGCGTCGCTCTTGCTACAGAAATAGTGTCAATCTCCACAATTTTATTTTTCATGTTCTACATGGACCCAAAAATGCGAATCATTCAAATTGCTCTCCTCAGCGCAATCGTCTCAATCACCCTTAAGAAAAAGTCATTTTGTGCTAAAATAATCTGCACGATTTATTTTCTTGAAATTATAATCGTAATTGATTAGTTTTCTTGCTAAGTCGTTTGGATGCTGTGGGTCGTGCCTAGTCTTCCAGTAGAGACTAATAGGTCAACGTTTGTGACTATTTTCGTCCGAAAATTTCTGAATTCATAGGAGAATGCCTCTCTAGAAACTCGGTTTTATGAGTTCGGGTTACAGTTTTGTATTAGCACTGGAATCGTGAATTGTAACAATTAATTAAATAGTCAAGAGACAACCAATACATCTGTTAACTTCTGGCTTATGTAAATGAGAAATTTTGCAGATATAAAGCTAATGATTCATTATTTTTTGCTTAAACTTGCGATCATTTTACTAAAACCTCTTGTTAACGTTTCAATATGCAATAAATTTTTGTTTTATTATAAAAATAACATTGATTACGTCACATGTTCTTCTCTAATTACGATTAAATTGTTGATGAACTGAGACTTTTATTGCCAAATTGCTGCCTTATTGCTATCTTATATCGACTCAATATTCATTAATATGGTTTGATTTCTTAATTTCTAGAATACGAATAAAATATAGCATTGAAACTATTAAGGTATAGTGTTTCAAATTCAGCCTGCTTCGGATTTCACAGTAAAAAATTTTGTTTTCCAGCATTTGATTAATGATAACTACATGATTATAACATAACCTAGCGGATGATACCTTATTAAGAGTGGTACCGTATTGGGGCACAGTCACACTAACTTAGTCTCTATATGATCGTACCGACAACTATTGATGGATGAATAAAAATGAAAAAGGGAAACTATAATAATAAACAAATTTTTAAATAGAAAAACACAAAACAAATTAGCTATGTGTTCTCCTAGTCAAAACTTTTGTCTACTGAACTATGATCAAATCTCTGGTTTGGAGCCTTTCCCTGCGATTTTTTTTTCGTCGGAATTTTTGAGGGCTTTATTCATAATTTTTATCTCACATTGCTGCAGAAATAAACTTCACAGAGGTTTTTGGTTACTATTCAAAGCAAACCATAACTATATTGTATGTTATACTACTTTTCAATTTTGATTTCATTTAATTTGGTTCCTGTAGATTCCCCAATAGAAATATAAGGAATCATATTAGGCTAAAAAACAAACAGCTTTTAAATGATATTAAAATTCACTATGCCTTTTCAGACAATAAGTTCATTTCTCATATTTTTTTGCAAACCATAATGACGACGGAACGAGTTTTAAAAAATTAGCCATTGCTAAAGGCGCACTGACAATCCATGAAACGATGGGAGGGGAGCAACGAAATAAAAGAAGCAAAGTCCGTAGATTTTTGTCATGTGACCTGCTGATATCTTGCTTGAGTTGCTTCTGAAACAGACCACAGGCCGTAACATAGTCTCGCTTAACATATTTAATACCAACTGGCAATTCAAATCTATCTTAAAGCTCTCTAGTTCTATATTTTTTTAAAGATGTAATGCACTCAGAATATTTTGCCGGTGATTTTTTTAACCTGCCATATTTTTTTCAGAAACGTAGGTTTTTCGGTTTGGCCTTCTTTTGATTTCTATTACAAACCGCTAGCAATATATGCATGAAGATTGCTATTCATATATATAGGAAAAATCATACGTTTTTCTTAAAAATCCTATTTTCAAAATCTATGTATTCACAAGTTATGAGGAAAAAACTCAATTTTTTAAAGGCTTGCACTCTAATCAGTAACTACCGCAAATGAAGTGGGATATCTACAAACTCGAGAAATGTGTTAATCTTACTCCTGTATAATGACGCTGTTATAATTCCGAGGATGTGGGTTTAGTTGCTTCAGATTTAGCCTATTACTGCCGTAAACAGGCTGGGATCTCAATGGGAGTCGAGAAATATAACAATTTTACATCGTCGCAGTGGCTGTGGTCATTCTAGCAGCGTGATAATGATTGTTTAAAAAATATGCAAATTACGGTCAACTGCTGTAAACGGCTTTGATCTCAATGAGAGTCGAGAAATATGTTAGTTTTGACTATCGCAGTATCTGTGATCATTTAAAATATGTGGTTCTGGTTGTTTCTGAATTATGCAATTAAAGTACAACTGCAAATTTATTCAACAGCATTGTGCCGCTGGGAGTCTGCGTGTCTGCTGAGTGTCTGCGTGTAGTGTGCCTGTTAACACGTTGACTACGAAGTGGTACAATGCCTACCACGAAATGTATTTCTCCAGGAGGTAGTGGTACATAATTTAGGTTGCCTTAAATTGGCCAAATCCGAGAATAAAAAATGCCAAAAAAGGCCGATAACTCAAAATGTACTAGTTTATTTGTAGGTTCCGCTATTAAAATTCCATTCATTTTATTTTTGCAGTATTTAAAATTTAATTAGGAAGTACCCCTATCATAAATTTTAGCCGGCCACGGAATTTGTCCGGAAAAAATGACCGTCTGGCAACCCTGTTTAAAAAAAGTACAAAAAAATGAAATAATAGTACAAGATGAAGCAATCGTAGTCAACGTGTTAATGTTTTGATCGTCAACAGGACTGCTTCTGTGGGAGTCTGCGTGTCCGCAGGTTGTTGTGCTCAATGAAAAAGTAATAGTAATCCACGTTCAGTTTTTTTGTAACGAAGTTAATTTGTTGAATTATTTTTGAAATGGCATTTCGATAGGGGCATTGTTTTAACTCTAGATACATGCATATGTTAACATAATCTTCTTGTTTTATGTACCTCCTCTGACAAATCACTACAGCAACTAAGAAAAAGAAATATTTAAAAATTCATGGTCATTACAAATATCTCTCTATTTTATTGATCAATACCTACACTTAAATAATATTTTGATGAATGTATTTCTCACATAAATGTTTCTTCAGTATTCGTCTAAGTTTCCTTGCAGAAAATTGCAAATGGGGAAGAATTAGACCATCGACGCGGTTGTTAAGGAAAACATTGCATGAGTGTTTTATTACGAGTTAGGTATTCTGATTTTGGTTGCAAATCACCTCGAACGTGATCTCGTTCAGATATGCTCTGCACTTATTCATTGTTCTGTGAACCACCACGAAAATTCGTTTCATGAGCTCTAATTAGTAAATTCCCCTCCCCCTTCCCCCCCCAAAAAAAAAACATGAGAAATGAAGTTATTGTCTCAAAATGCGTAGTGAAAATCCTCAAAATCATTTTTTGTTAGGACAAACATGTTTATTTATATTTCAGTAAGGTAAGCTACAATAACTAAGTTAGATTAACACCAAATTGAAAATGAGGTTAAACACGCAGTTATTTAGGACTTACAAATAATAGTAACAAATTAACTTTGTGAAGTATATTTATTTAACAAGGATGTGACAAATTTTTCAGATAAAACTTAACAAAATTTATATGAAATTTCAGAAATCGTAAATCCGAATTTGGTGTAAAAAACACATCTCGTGGTCGCATCTCCAATTTTACGTTATTTTGGTATGTCCGGAATTACTGTGAAGCCAGTTTTTTAATTAATTAACTCCGAAATTTCATCAAGCCTACAAATTTATGCACTTTAAAAGGAAATGGATAAATTTATCAACTTATTCTATTTCTCAAATGGCAGAACTGACAATCGAAAAATTTGAACGGCATATTTGCGATTTTGAAGTGAGTACATTTCTTAGTTACGGGGAATTTTCAAGTTTAATTTGAAAATTTATTTATGTTAATTTTATTTCAGAAAAGGCTGAACTAACAATCGTTATACAGTGGGGGGAAATAAATATTCGTACACTTGAAAAATCGTATTTTAATGTATGTAAGTACACAAACTTAACAGGAAAAGTGATTTATATTTTGTATAGAGACGCATAGTATTCAAAAATACTATCAAAAGAAATTAAATCTCAATGCAACAAAAAACAATGCAACAATTGCAACATGTTCACTTTTCGGGTGAAAAAAGTATTCGTACAAAACAATAAATCCGCATTATTTTAATTTAATACTTGGTTGAATACCCTTTATTCAGCTCAACAGATACCATAAGTATTAAATTAAAATAATGCGGATTTATTGTTTTGTACGAATACTTTTTTGACCCGAAGAAGTTAACATGTTGCATAAATTTTTGTTGCATTGAGATTTAATTTCTATTGATGCTATTTTTGAATACAATGCGCCTCTATACATAATATAAATCACTTCTCATGTTCAGTTTGTGTACTTACATACATTAAAATATTATTTTTCAAGTGTACGAATATTCATTTCCCCCCACTGTATGTGAACAGCATTTTAGCCGGTTAAAAGTGAATGTATTTCTAAATTTTGTGGCAACTTTCAAGTTGAATTTAAAATTTAATTCCTTTGAGCAGCATTTTAGGTTACAACTGTTGTTGAATCATGAAAGTTATTACCGAATGTACAATCTTTAAATGGCTGAACTGACTCCTATTGATATTGGAGTATCCACTGTTGGAGAATCGACCTTTGGAACGGCCATAGTGACATCTATGCCATTGATGTAGCCACTCCGCAGTTAGAAAGTGAATGAATAATTCCTCGAGTTACATGATATTTGGCGATGAATCTTAGTAGTGGGAAAAGAAATATTTTAAATGATTGAACTAACATCGATGAAATTCATGCAACAACTCCACACTTGGCAAGCGAATTAAATCATCGAATGAGAGGTTTTTTGGTATTCAATCATTCACGTTTAAACCGGAAAAGCCATTCAGGAAAAAGCTGAATTGACACTCTTGAAATTTGAACAACATTTTTGCCGTTAAAATTAAATAAATTTCTAGTTTTCGAAGAATTTTCAAGATCAACATGGTAATGATACACCATACAACTATATTTAAAAAAAATAATTGAAGGAAAAACTAACAAATTTTCCTTCACAATTGAAATTTTCCAGTCGAATACGTCATAATTAAAGGAAGACAACACAATGGAAAAGTGAGTGTTAATCTTAACAAAGTCAAATTACTGCAGTAGCTTGATCGCAGTAAGCAGCCATCCGATCACACTTAACAGGAGTCAACAATTTTTTGCATTAGATGAGTTGAGCTCTAAAATGAAATTAGTTTCAAAGTTTCAAATTATCAACTGCTCTCTAAATTCCTGGATTGATAACCAAAATTATGGTGGAATTATACCATAGTAATGTGAAATCAAATAAGTTGCTCACAAATGGTATCCCGTTTAATTAAACACGTTCACCCTTCCTCCGTGTACGCGATAGCACACCGACATGACAGCTGGGGCAGCGAGAACGTTCTTGTAGCACACTGGACTAGTCTTCAGAGGCTCCCGGGAATTACGACGAACGTTATTATGCAATCTTCAATACGTAAGCTGTCGTCCGTACGGATGCTTGCAAATTCCATCATAAGGCATACCTGCAAGAGCCTATATCTTTGGCCGTTCAAGCAGACATATGCTCAAAGCTGAAAATTTCTTTTGTAGCCATCATTATTTTGTGGTCATGAAGAACAGTAATCTCCAGACAATTCGAAATCAAAGAAATACTTCCACAAGCACTCAAAATATTCATTTTCATCCTGTTCAATGTCTACAAGTGCAATGGTCCTTACCATCAAATTGTTTAAGGCTCTCTGAAGGAGACAAAACTATTCAACCTTTCAAGCATTGATTGCTCTTTACTACGTCCTGCTTCACGGTAGTTTTAAACTGGCCCCTTACTATGACGGAGCACAGACGGCTTGCGCCAACGGCTATCACTCTGCCTGGAAGGGGTGCGGGAGGTTGATGGGGGTGCGGGGGCTGCATACCCCGCATGCATTGCAGCTTGTAAGCGGTATGACTGAAAGCTCTTTTTGACTTGCACTTGAATCAAAGAAGCACTTGAACCTTTCCAGTTGAAGCTTGAGCGTTATTGCATGTGTAATTATGGAGTAGAATATGGTTTGTGTATTGGAGCACATGCGGCGCACACATGTGTGAGAGCACGTAATGCAAATCCACCATTAATTCTTTTTATTTACACTCATTGGATAGATTCGATTTTTCAGTTAATAACTCCTGCAACATTAATTCTGGTATAACTTCTTCCGGTGTATTAAGCGACCTCTGGGAATTTCAGCAAAAATTTACGGTACTCAATATATTGAGTGAAAGAGAATTGAGTTGAGTTATTCTTCTGTGTTATTCATCATGTTCATGGAGTAGAAATAGTTGTAGATTTATTAATTTGCTCGAGTATCTGTAGCAATATATTCTTTACATTCAATGATGTCACTTATGTGCACAGAAGTAGGTTTAATATGCAGAAGTGTCAGGTTAAAAATGTCTTGAACCGTAGATGCATGGGTTGGTTCATCATAGCCTAAATTCACCTTGCTATTTGTCAAGTTAGAGTCGACGCTCCTTTCGTTCCGTCGTATCACATAGCAAACGTACGCGTGTACGTTCATCGACGCCATTTATAGAACTGAAGATGGTCAGGGCTCGGGCTTTTACCCTTTGCGTGAGCAACACGCACTCGATGCAAGCGTGTTGAAGGTAACGCAACGCAAGCAGGTTGACGTACACGCAATGCAAGTGTTGAAACGCTCGCGTGTTGATAAGTTCGTACCCATGCACAATGCACATGTAGCGTCACAACTAAAGGCATGGGCTTAATTGTCACGCTCGCGCTAAGAGTTCATGCCAGCTACTGAGCAGGGTAAGCCAAATGATGGCCTGACCAGCCGCTGATTTCGTGTGTCATTTGACCATTATATTTTTTACCTTGGAACTACTCAGAATAGCACCTATTGGGTGGCTGATTAGGGGATGCGGCTATTTCATATCTGATTCATCTCTAATCCGAGAGCGGCAACCAGCCCGAACGACAGCCGCGTCTAAATTTTGACAAGGTGTCGACACAGGCCTAATAAACATCTATGTAAGCTGCTGAGTATAACTTGTATATCCTCAATGACTCATAAATTGTCATATTCATGTTAATGCACTTAAATCACCGCCCAGCAAAAAAGGCAATGAAATACTTACGAAAATTTCCGTTTATTCCAAGCAGGGAACAACAATTTGTAATACACATTAATTTTTTCAGCTGGCCAAATGTTACCTAAAAATGATGATATTGAAATGTGAAAATTAAAAAATATTAACCGAATTTTGTCCCAAGAGCGTACGAAAATATTCAATCCAAAATACATAAATAAGGTGTCTACAGTAATTGATATTTAGAGCTATTTACTCCACAAAGTTGGGTCGAAATTTTAGCTTGCTCGGTAAAAGCTATCTAATCAAGTCGTACATTTCAGACTTGCAACAGTGTGTGACATGTTTTACATGAGAGCCACAAGTTCATTTGAAATTCACACAAGTCACATACCTTTAATACCAAGACTACTCCAAGACTCCTATCACAATATTGCTCTTTCTGGAGATTCTATACGAAAGTTTTTGCGACAACGGCAGTAGCAGCCGCTCTGCTGAGAAGTTGATAATATCAAGGCTGGCTGAGTGTTATCAACGGAAGTTGTTCATTCAGCAACGACTGACAGAAAAAAGTTCATAGGAAGCAGGAAAATTTCAGATAATGTCTATCAATCCATATTAAGAATTGATTGAATCTTATGTTCGGAACTACATGTCAGCAGATTCATAATTTCAAAATTTTAACGTGATTCACTCAGAATTAGAGAAAACCTTTCATTCCTAAATGAGCCTCGACCGCAGCATGACTGAATCGCAACCACCAATCGTTAAACCAAGTTTAGAGTTCCTGCTTGTCCAAAAACCTTGCTAACACCCGTTTGATTCTGATTATCCGAAAGACTTCTAAGAATGCTGATTTTCATGAAGGTTATAAAGTAGTTTGCTGTTATAACTTCATGAATAAAAAATTCCATCTTATTCTGCACCTTCAGAGGGAACAATAATTCTAAATTATATTACAAAGTTATTAAATACCAAAAAATGCATTGTCACCATATATTTAAATAACATGCAATATGTTTCGTCTTCTTAATTAAGCCCTACACTGGTTATAAGTTGAGTTTCTCGACTGCCAATCACCGACTAAAATAAAAATTATAGAGTGAGCACGTTTCAATCAATGGAATAAAGTTCCATCGTGATAATTTCAGTTTAATTGCAAAAATATTGCTCAAATCAGTCGTTAGTTTCCGTCCAATTATTAAATTTGAAGCATGTAAATCAATTCAATCCAATTGCCTTACGAATTCCGAGATCCCAATTTCTCCAGTACATTTAAAATTTTTTGGCGATGACGCAGTTCAAATTTGAAAGCGGGATTGCATGATTATTCGATTCTGCCAGCCGATATCGGTTATATGCAGCAGCGTCATCGCTCTAGGTCTCAGGCCTTGCGAGATCCACGGACTTCAACAACCACCTGTAATTATTAAAGAAATTACACCATGAAACCTCAAAGTTGATAGTGATAGATATACCAGCAAACTGTAAAATCTTATATTTTAAACGTTTATTAAATTTCGAACGCGAAGGGTGGTTGAAAACGCTCGAATAACGTAATTTCTTGAGATTTTATGCTATCTTCGAGAAATTATTGCTATCTATGAATCATGCAACTAAGAATATAAATATGAAAGATTAATTTCAAATTTATCAAAAATAAAGATAATATAGCAACAAGTGACTCAAATACTAGCAGAAATTCGATGAAAGATTTCATGAAAGATAATTCGATGAAAGATTTAATTAAACTCCTGATGAGTGAAACTAAATTCTTACACGAAAGTTCAAATATATGTACCAAGTTATTGAATGTTGCACTGACCAAGAATAAAATTCGTTCAGCTGTGAATATAACTTACCCAAAAAGCAAAATCATAACCAAATAAACTCCTGTCGAGAAGAAATTGTAGTAGCCAGGATGGAGCGTATTAGTTGCGTTGTAGAGGGCGCGGTAAATGGGCGCACTGAGGAAAGGAACTAGGGACTCGCAGGCTGCCATCACAGCGAACACTGAGCCTGCGTGGAGAACAACATGGTAAGGAAAGGAACAAGTAACCCGCAGGCTGCCATCACAGCGAACACAGCTTGTGCGGATAAAAATGTAAAGATGACGATGAAACAGACCTATTCAACATTCTGGTTTTATGTTAAATAAAACACCGTAAGTGTGAATTAGTGGAAGGTTTTTGAAAGGTTGTTCTAAGCGAAACGAATGAGCGTGGTAGTTTTTAGAATCTCATTTGTTCATCATTCACATAATGTGAACGCACAAATTTCTAATGTTAATTGATGCTTGTTCTGAATATTTGCCAGTATTCAAGCCAATTTCCATCGAACTATTTTTTTTCCTACCCATCAATTCTTGTAAAGATTTGTCTTGTTGCTTCCGTTTAAAATTTTTCATTCCCGTGTTTAACGATAATGTCAACAATCATAGTTTATGATTTTTTTTACGGTGCACCGTGCACTTCTGTCCAGACTCGGCGCACTGATGACTAACGGTGCACATGAGGTACGCACCGATGACTAACGGTGCACAAGAGGTACGCACCGATGACTAACGGTGCACAAGAGGTACGCACCGATGTCTGCAGGGGCAAGCTTGGAGAGACAGGAGCGCACAGCCACGGGAGCCAGCACAGAGAAGCATCCGACCACTGAACCTGTGCCACAGAGAGGCTCCCATTAGGCTTAGAACAAATGTTCAACATTATAATGTAAGGTTAACTGAACCAACTTAAAGATTATTAACTGCAAGATATAAAGGATATGTCCTGAGGAATTGCATTCTAAATAACACGTGCATTGCATGCATTTTTTTCATAACTTGTCTTACGTTTTACACGATACCATTTTATTCTTTTGATTTTGTTAAACATACTTTATGCTAAATTTTACGGATAACAGGTCATGAGATGAATGCAAGTCACGATATTCCTTCGAATGCATGTCACGAGTTTCTCACAAATAAAAGTTTCGAGTTTACCTCGAATAAAAGTCACGGGTGTCCCTCAAATATAAGCCACAATATTCCTCTAAAATTCCTCTGTCAAATCGAGTTTACAAATAAATTTCATATTAAAATGTGAACATATTCAAACTAAAGACATAAAAGTCGAACAACTGCTTCAATGAATGTTTTTTATCAAATAAACTTTTTTAGTTTATAAAAAAATGTTACATAAATAATTATAAAATATAAATAGTTATAATTATAAAATAAACATTTTTTAGTTTATAAAAAATTGTAATTCAAAACTGAAAACTTAGGAACATTGGCTAATTCGGCAACCGACAAAAGCTTTGTGAAGTCCACTCGACATTTTATGAGTGAGATGCTACCGAGGTAAAGAAGCCAAGCTTCACTGGCGCTGTTGATGGTAGCATAGCTGAGACTCGCGGCCATGCGAGACACAGAGCCCGCGACTCCCACGAGCTGGTCCGGCAACGTGCAAACTAGCGTCACCAGCGGCACCAGTACAAACCCACCTGAGAGACGCAATCCGTTTACATTGTAACTCTGAAACCAATCGATACATTTAATTTTATTAAAAATAAAAGTGAATTGTATAGTTTTAAAAAATGTATTTCAATTTCTTACGTCTAAATTTTGAGAATTGTAATTCATATTACAATTATAACTATAATAATGAAATTAATTATTCACAATTCATATTACATAATTGTCAATTTCTATGAAAAGTTTGCCTGTTTTAAATTTTTACTGATATCTAGAAGTCAAGCTCACTTTTGTTGAATGAGCTTGTGTTCCGTAGAATTAAATGATCAACAAGAGCGTACTAGGGCTTAAAATCTTACAGTTATTAGTGAGAATCTTAAAATTTTATATTTTCCACATCAGAGATAATGCCATATTAGTATGAAGTTACATTTTTATTGATCAGCTAGTTTTCATCGTACAAAAATTTTTCGATTCACAATTTGAATAAAATTTTGGATTCAAAATCGCAGCAACGAATCACAAGGAGGAATTGTGAACATTTTAAGTTGACGAGTGAATTTGGTATAAGCTAACCCACGACCGAGAGGAAGGAGGTGCCGGAGCTCCAGTAGCTGTACTGGGCGCTCGTCCAATCCACGGCTCGCAGCACGAACAGATACCTCACGTTCATGGCTCCTGGGGGGGGAGACCTTAGTATTATATACAATTTATACGATGTCCTAATAACTGTTAATAATAATAAGCCTTTCTTTTCAGTACTAGTAGATAGATTTAGTAGATAGATTCGATTTCCTTGAAAGGAGGATTCTTGGGATTAAATCATAACAGTAGTCCTGAAAGTGGAAATCTTTTCAAAATAACGACCGAGGATACATGCAATACTACCTACAATGGCGGGAATTGATCGGAGAACGGAGCCAAGATATACCAGGATACAAGTCAAAAATAATATAACTATTCTATACAAATGATGCGGTCGTTTCCTTATATTTCGATATGAAGTTTCATCTGCCTGAAGCCGTTATGACTCACCTCACCTGACTCATCTCACCTGACTCATCTCACCTGACGAGGCAAGCGAGTCGAGCATCATGATGAGTATCAGGACGAGGATGAGGGACCGCGCATTGTCCGGACGCTTGCGCATGACGGCCGAGACGCTCAGGCTAATGTACTCTGTTTCGCATGCAACGCAGCATTTCCCTTGGCTCCCTTGCTGAGAAATTGAGGCCCAATAAGAATGACTCGCAAAATTATTTATTATATTAATTGAGACAGAATAAGAATGACTCGCGAAATTATTTCCTCAATTTACTCACTTGCGCGAATAAAATATACCTATTAACAATGCCTTTTACGATTGAAGCGATGCTTTCCTTACGAAATATATACAGTTTGTTTCTTATTTATAGTTAATTGTTCAATCGCGTCTCACCGTTATTTCCATCTTATTGGGAGATTCATTTCGAAGCCGGAAGAAAACGTATGCAGCTGCGAGAATATAAAGGACGATGGCAGATCCGAAGACTCCAGCGTAGCCGGCGACATCTTTGACCAAAGGCGTAACTGCCAGGCCGATTGACTGGCCGAAGTACCAAAAGGTATCCAAATAACCCATGCGGAAAGTTCTTCTTTCTATAACGTGACCAAGATACGGTAAAATTAGTCGTTTTTACCAAATTTACACGGCCAATTTAAATGATAATTTATTTTTTGCTTGTACGACGGTTATCAATTATTATTATTATTTTATTATTATTCTACGAAGCAGTTATCGTGGCGTGTGGTTCAAGCGAACTTCGAAGTCACTTTACACATAAGTTTAATTAGCAACCGAAAAATAAGCAGACACGAGAAAGGATGAGAACGGGTGAAAATGACTAAGCACTTGATTCATAGGCTCTACGAAGTAGTTCCGTCTTTAGGCGTCGACGAAACGCCTTGAACAACGAAGGAGCCGATGTTACGGAAGCCGGCAGACTGTTGTTCCAGGTTCTGGCGGCGGCGACCGGGAATGCCCTGTCGTCGACGGTAGATAGACTTGTAAATGGAACGACACGGTCCGCTGTTGATGACTACGCAATCGTCTTCTAGGAAGCAGATCCGACACGCGCTGCGCACCTTCAGAGAGATGAGGAGGCGCCAGACCGTGAAGGCATCGGACTGTCAAAACAGCGACCTTGAACTGCGTGCGCTGCTGCATGCGCAATATCAGCCAATCAGGTCAGAACAAGCGCCACCACGCGGTCCTCGAGGACCGTCCTTGAAATTCAGCGGCTGACGTATTCGTCGCAGAGCACCGAAACAAGCAGTGGTGACTTTGGCAATGTTATTGTTCATAGAAATTCCGAATAATGCAGAATTCCCAGGTTGAGAACCGAGGACGCAGGCATGACGAACTTGTTGCACACGTTAACGCCAACGGAAGCTGATACTGGCGCCGAGCTAATGCAAAGCAAATAAAATCGGGTTGTTGATGTATTGACCTGGAGCCGGTTGGAGCGCCTCCAGTCTGAGACGGCGTCCATGCAGGCAGACATCCGGTCCTGCAGCGCTGCAGCATCAGCCGGTGCACAATAACCATAAATTTTGATGTCGTCGACGAACAAACGGGATTCAAACTATGTGAATCAATTCTGTGCAACACGTCGACAGTATATAACAGAAAAAAGATCGGGCCGAGAACTGATCCCTGTGGTATGCCGCAAGTGACCAAAGATGGCGTATAGGAAGAGTTCCTGCGTCGAACGTATTGGAGTCTATATTGCTGACGTAGGACTCGAACCACCGCTAAACCGTACAGCTTGAACCAGTACGTGTGCCGCCTCCAGCAATTAAAATACTGGCTCGTTAAAAAATTGTTAAATTGATATAACAATTTGAACTCCTTACTTCGGCCGGTGGTGTCGGCAGTGTGGGCGAACGCGAGCATGAGCAGACCGTAAGTGCCTCCTGAGAGCGCGTAGGGCACCGAGCACAGCAGCATCATCTGGACGATGATGGCAGTAGCGGTGAGGACACGATCGACATCAATTTACCTGAACTACAATGATGCTCGCAAAACTTGTCTGTCCTTAAAAAGGACAGTGTAGAGAAAGGAAGAATGGTATGCATGTTGTTATTCTATGTTATTTCATGATTTTTACAAACAATTTTCTATCCTACTTCTACTTCTTCAAATTAACTAGCAATTATATTAAAGGTACCTAATATCTGCGACTCAGTATTGAGAGCTGTATTAGCTGACGTTCTCGTAGAAGCGTGCTGAAGTTTTGCAGCCTTGTACTGGGATAGTTTAATTACGAAGATTAGGTTAGCAGAAGTCGGCACCTACAAAGGTACGTCCATAAATAGGAAAGTAGGATAGTGTTATAATGTAGATGAAATTCGAGACAAGTGTTCAATAATTAGTACATTGAGTGGCATCAGACCTCTACACTAAAGGCTGTGCTCTTGTGAAATAATTGAAATTCATGTTAAAATTTAATTATGTTTGCCGCTAAGGAACCCAAAAATACCAAAATGCTCTATTTATCCTCAGCACTCAAGGTGGACAATACGAGTGACCGGGTGTGCAAATCCATAATAAACAACATATCAGGCGATTACTGTTATATTTGGTTAGATTACAAGTGATGAAATCGTGAGGCAGCTCAGAATCAGAATGGAAATGAATTGTCTCTTATGTCATTAGGCTTTAATTTTCAGCACAACATAAAATTCAGATAGTTTCATATAGATATTAAAATTGGCTTTATTGTACATTGGAATTTTGAACCAGTCTTTACTTGATTTACCTGGGCCTTTGTTCAGAAGTTTCATTGTAGCATGAGAGACGATTTGGTTCATGGATTATAAGTATTCCGAAAAATTTTGCTGTTTAATTTCTTAAGGAGCCTGGAGGTAAGATTTTATATTCTACCAAAGCTTCAAATTCTGCAAATGCTAATCAGTGCTTCGTCCATGTTTGGCATGTAAGCATGCGACACATATCAGTGAATTACATAAGGCGGGTTTCCAGACTTCGAGTCCAAGTTACCTACGCCGATATTTCACTTTCAAACCGTGCAAGGCAATAATTTATTGTGGGACATTTGATCATTAGCGAATTTAATTTTACACGAGTGCCCATATTCATTAAGGTGGGTTACATGGCTTCAATAGGCAATAAGGTGGGCTACTTCAATTCAATTCAACGAATTTATCTTCAATTCAGCAAGTGAGTTGTAACTGAAGCTCGTAGTCTGTAAGAAGATCTTATCGAGGGAGTCATTTGTGTTCTCTGTTCACCTATACTGCATCTTATGTAATCACTGAAATAAATCCAATGCGCGTTGGAAATTATAGCAGGAGTAATTAAGGACAGCATGGATACGAGTTAAATCATGAGGACAAAAGATAAATTTTGGATTGCAGAATTAATGTAATGCAGTAAGAAAAAACATAATTCAATCGTATGTGTTTATAAGTTAAGGTTATTTTATAAAGTAGCAACAGACTCGAGATATTCCGTTACACGCGAGAAACCAAACTTTACGTCAAACCGCAAAACAAGTTATTCAATGGTATAAACAAATAATAAATTAATATACAATTTATAGAACAAATAATCTAATATAACAATGCAGAAATCAAAGGGGATATTGATTGAAAATTTAGGTTTATCCACTAGTCTTGCTGTTAAAAAAAATGTTGCCTTACATCTTATTTGGTCATTCAAGCTACTGAACTTTGATACGTTTATTAATATTCCTTTGATTTGACCCATTATGAAACATCCTCATATCATGACTCCAATTCCAAACAATAATTAGCCATGCTGGCAAAGGGCACGGCCCGACAGCGGTATAATTTATACAACGAAAGACTTTAATTTTACTAAAGGACTCACTTATATCTCACAGCGACAGTTTCACAAGACTCGTCTGTAATATTAGTTAACGACTTTAACTCAATTTCCCAAAGAATAAAAGTTGTTGACTTTTTAGCGCACTTTCTCATTTATGGAAAAAAGGTATTTTACATATCTCATTTATATTATATGCATTAAGGTACTATATAAATAAATGTATTCTAAAAATATTTATTATTGTGACTTGCGAGACAGAAAGAATACCTCCAGAGGCCACTGCGGGCAGAAGGAGTTGACCAGCATGAGGCCAGACTCTCCCATCAGCATCAGCAGACACAGCATCAGCGGCCCTCGTCGCCCGACTCTGTCACTCCAGGGGCCCATGAACAGCACCACTGCGAACTGGACGCAGGTGTTTTCTTTACTCCACAAACTGTCACTCCACGGACCCATGAACAGCACCACTGCGAACTGAACGCAGGTGTTCTCTTTACTCCACAAACTGTCACTCCACGGACCCATGAACAGCACCACTGCGAACTGAACGCAGGTGTTCTCTTTACTCCACAAACTGTCACTCCACGAACCCATGAACAGCACCACTGCGAACTGAACGTAGGTGTTCTCTGTACTTCACAAATGAGTTTGCTCGTCTACTACCTACTTATTGTCTATTAATGAAGTCTATCACCCGCATCATTCGCGTCTTTGGACCAAGATAAATATTAGAAAGTTTAATGAACACAATAAAGTCTAACAGATAATTTATTATTACATATACACATATATGTATATATTATTTTATGTCATTTGAATTCACAGAGCTGCTTATGTAAGTAAATTAAAAATCTACATTTGCACTAATGAATATAGTTTTTTATTGTATATAATGTTCGTTTTAAAATTTTGAGCACCAAATTTATACTATTTTGATTAAACTAGTCAGCCTAACTTGCTCGATGCCTTAACGTTTATCAAATATTGAATTGCCTCATTATTGTCACGTGCTCAGTTGCTGTATTAGTCTCTCGCACTTTTTTACTAAATTAAATTATTCATATTTACATAGTTGTAACTATTTATAACTATGCAGGATTTATAATAAGATTTTTTGCAGCAATTTTCGCGTTAAGTTGATCTCATCATGATAATTTGGTATGTCAATTATTAGTGTTAGATATAATGGATAATCAATCGTATCAAGCCAAGATTTGTTAAAAAATCTACCCAATCTTTAATCGATGACTTTAATAGAATAATAATATTTGTGATACATTTTATTATTAAATATCTCCTTGCCACACATTAATTGCATTAGAAAAATTAAACACGATCTACGTCGGTAAAAATAATGTTATGCTGTATATAAAGGAAAAATTGTGTAATCGTGATGACATGAAATGAAAATTCTCACATAGGTGTTGAGAATTATTTGAGGCGTGGAATTCTTTTACGGCCGATTTAACAAATTTAAACGGCAACAAAAAGAATTTTGCGATGAGAATATGGAATCTGTCCATTGATCTAATATGAGAAAAAAGAATTTTGCAAAAAGAGAATTGAATTGAAAAAAGAATTGAAAAAGAAGAAGAATTGGCAGTTTATTTGCCCCACTGGCATACATATTTTTGAGTAAAAATTGATTTATAAACCTACTAGCATGCAAGAAGACAATTAAGACTTCTTATATAGTTATAGCTAGATCGATAACAATCGATAAGAAACCAATTCAAGACGAAACTTAATAATGAAAGCTGTTCATCAAGACGCAATTTCACATCGGAAGCTGCTCATCAAGACGCAACTTCACAATGGAGGCTGCAAATTAATACGCAAGTTTACAATGAAGGCTGCTAATCAAGACACAAATTAACAATAAAGGCCGCTAGTCAAGACACAACGGAGGCTGCAAATCAAGACGCAACTTCACAATAGAGGATACAAACCAAGACAAAACTTAACAATGAAGGCTGCTCTTTTATTAAACAAATTTACATTAGATGCTGCTCATCAAGAAGCAAATATACAATATGGAAGCTGCTCTTTGATTAAGACACCACTGAACAAAGGAGGATTTCCATCAGGCACGTGAGAGATGGTTGCATGGGCTCTTGTATGTCAAGGTGTTCGGAACTCCTGCTATAAGTCTCGGCGCAACACGAAAACAAATATATTTCTTTAAAAAGTTCTACGAATGTTGGCCTATGAAACGTGATAATGAATACCTTGATGGCAGTCTCGAAAATGTTCCTCCACATGAGAAACTCGGAGACCTGGTCGTGGATGACTTCATCGGTGTAGTCGTAGGAGTTCAGGTCGTTGCAGACGGTGGGCGTCAGATCGTGGTTCACCTGCCACAGATATCAATCAGTTCCTACTGTTGTCTTCTCTATTTTGCCAGAAACCATAATGCAATTTCAGTTTTGTGCAACAAAGTCAATAAAAAGTCTTTCGAAAAATTAAAAATTTTGATTTCACATCTTTTACTTGTGTCTCAATCTTGCAGACCAACTAAATGCTTGTATTCTTGCTTATAGCTCGAACAATTGAAATTAAAAATATATACAGGGCGAAAAATAATCAGCTGTTGCCTTCACTTGAATAACTCCCTTAATTCCAGCCAAACTGATGGAAAACCATTTGCTTCATTGCATTGAACTTTTTCAAAACTCTTATGTACGGCATCTCCACATTATTGGTTAATTGCTTGCTTTATCAATTACAAAACTTCTTCCTGCTTTGAGATCATGTCATTCTTCCTTGCATTTTTTTTATTTTTCGAGCACCTTACTTATTAGGACAGAAGTACATTTTAGTTTAAATAAATGTGGCTACCACGTTGATGAGGCTGTGATGATGAACTAAAAAACTAAACACATGAACTAAAATGATGATGAACTAGAAAACTGCGTTTACTACATCCATGAGGCATTTCTTCTCGCTTCGAGTCACCGACATGTGGAGCAGCCTCCCTGATAGCATCGTTGACGCTCCGAGTATGAACACCTTCACGAACAGACTAGACGAAGCTATGCAGGAGCATATGTTCAGTCATGAAATGTCTAGCACCTTACGGACCAGGCAATAAGTCCAGCAGCTATCTCAATTTATCGTCAGTTATGGAAAGATCGGGTTCCAAAGGCCGGATCCCTTGTGGAATCAATTAAGTCACGAAAAGTATGAGCATATATAGGCAACAGGCCATGGACCTATTTCTTCAGTGCCGACACTTCTATTCTATTCTGCTTCTGTAGCGTTCCGAACGGCAACAATCCCAATTTCTTCAATTAATCCAGTTAATAAATTGACTATATTAGAAGCCAAATTTATCAGGTAAATTTGTTCCTACAGAGTTCACCACCTGCTCTGTATTGGCCCGCCTCTGGGAAATTTCGACATCTTATAACGATCTTTATACTTTCTATACTTAGGGATAGAGACGATGGCAATTATTTTCTTCTGGCACCGAGTTTTATTCAGAACAGTGGTTGTAAAACGTGATTTATACATTATTCGGTGTGATTCGTAAATTTTTCGTGGGAGAGAAATAGCTTTGATTTTTGAATTTATCCTCCTTAAAGGATCACGCCAACATTTTTCGTCAACACTTGTGGAAGCGAGCGTCTTTTTAGCGCATTTTTCTCTTTATAGAAAAAATGCACTATTGTGCTCGCCATGTCCGTCTGTCTATATGTCTGTCTGTCCGTCCTTGACTTCACGTTTTCGTCGATTTTAAGAAGCGGGCATGCCTGTATCAAAGATACGACATCTCTAGCGCTAATGCACTGTACTAATCGCAATGAAAACTGATTTATGCACGAGAAAATGCGCTCTCTGTCACTCACTGCCATGAGTACTGAGTTACATTTTTTTGTTATAGCGTCTTTTTTTCTCATGAATTTTGTTTTTTTCGGTCCTCACGCATGTGCAAGTAAAAAAGGAACAAGCAAAAATATATGTAAGAAATTATTATTCATAATGATTGGAATTATGAACCACACCTCTGGTCGCAAATTTAGCTTCACTTTCATTATTTTTAACTAATCTTTCAGGTTTCGTTAACGCTCTGAAATAATTGTTATTTCACGCTAAAATTCATAGAACGAAATATTGATATTACTATATGTTAGATTGTAAATTACAAAAAAATGTGAAGAACTCCAACCCCATTTCAGAATTCAATCACAAGTATGATCATTTCGTCATTAAATTACCTAACAAACGTAGCCGTATAAGTTTATTCTACCTGTAGTCATGAACTTTCCGCCAATAGTGGAGCTGGTCACTGAAAAGTCGGTATTTAAAATGATTGTGAATTTCCGTGCCATTTTCTTTGATTTAAAATTGTCTGAACACCAGTAAAAGTATGATATACGATGTTATATGCCAAAGTCAAAAGCGTTTGAATACAGCATTAATACGTGCTCTGCTATTTCCCAAGGGGTAAAAAATCTTCTAATGTAGTTAGAGCCAACAAATTTATACCTGCTTTAATTTATCATGCACTTTAAATTATAAGGCCATTTTTTTCGCGGCTATTTCGCGATTATACACATTAAATGGCCTATTATACACATTAAGCATAAGGCCATTTTTTCGCGATTTCCTCTTAATTATCGGCGTAACGAATTGGCACTATATGGTAATTTTCATCCTCCGTTAATTGTAATGAACATAAGAGAAATATTAGTGAACATTTCACCTAAGACCGTCCGCATATTAAAAAAAAAAAATATAACTCAGTACTCACTGCAGTGAGTGACAGAGAGCGCATTTTCTCGTCGACAAAAACGTGAAGTCACGGACGGACAGACGGACATGGCGAGCACAATAGTGCATTTTTTCATAAATGAGAAAATGCGCTAAAAACTGGAATTTCAAGACCAACCCCTTGTATGCAGCGGCACATCTGCAATTAATAGCATAAAAAGAACTGGATAGTATTGCAACGTTTGGCTGATAAGTTCTGAATAGTTCTTCTAAAGCTCAAAATCTGCAAGTAAATTACCCTTTACAATGTAATCGTTTAACACATCAACTACTACATGTGTTCATTTCCTGATTAATCATGACATTCAAATAATATAGTCAACATTCAATGACGAGCTGATATCAGTTCCATTCATAAATAATTATCAACTCACTCGGCACGCCTTTTCCACCATGAGATCCTGCGAGGTGACGTACACCATCTGCGAGACGAGATTCTGAATGAACAGCACGGGCTCCAGCTGCACCTGTTCATATCCGTGCTTCAGCTTAGCGCAACATCCTGTTTTGTGCGCACTCTCGCTGTGTCGGGCTGATTCCACATTGCTGCTTGAGCTTGAAGTGTTCGATGCATCGTCGCCTTTGGCGCTTTCATTCATCATACAGTCCACGGATATTCCGGTAACACCGAAGTCAAAATAATGTGATTAAAAAGTGTTTTATCCGATGTTATCAACTAAATAATCACGTATAGCTAGACATTCGCAGTGTCTTGTGCAATCTACCGTTCGTGAATTTTTCTTAAAATTTATAGTTGAATTCTAACTACTGTATTTTGAAAAGCAAATTACATTGTGGATATCTATATTTAACTTCGAAATTTTTCTGTCATCAAGTTTTACTTCGTACAATATATTACCTGTTATGTATTCTGTATTCTGGGACGGAAACCATAAGACACGCAATGCATGGTTCAATTATGCACGCATACATAGAAAATTTGAGAAATATGCATGAGTCAAAGGCGTTTTAAACTGCAGTTCAACATACTGACGGCAGCCTGATCAAATTGACAGACTAAATAAATAATTGTATCCCTCAGCAAATTTATAAAGCGCTTCGTCAAGAATTGATGCACTGATTGTTGACTAGACGCCGTATCTCGTTTTTTAGATTTCCGATTTCGAAAACAGTGTGCAGAATCAAGTTCCCATTTAGAATTTACTTATAAGCAAAATCAATAAGAGGAAGAATTCTTGAGACAGTCGATCAGGCCTCAAAGCATGGATGGTCCAGTAATTATACTTGACTGCGAATTCGGTATCACATTTACAAGCAGCGCGAGTTTCCACTGAGCACCTCACATGTGTTCACTTATTTATCATAAGCCGGCAGGCCTTCACCTGCTGCTCTGTACGCCGGGCGCAGACTGATAAAGCGGGACCAGAACGAGACAGTCCACGAGACTAGACTTTTTTCTACATGCACAATGCTGTAGTAAGTACTTAAGATAATAACTGCCTATTTCCAGTTGATAACATTTATCTTTCTGCACTAAGTTTGAAGATAACTCCTTACAGCTAATGTTTATCTGATAAAATTTGTTGGGGAAGTTCGGTGCTCAACCTAATTCCTGCCATAAGGCTGAAATTTGATGAATCGCGAGTAAATATATCCATATTTCACTTATATAGGAGCAACTGCTCCTACTAGCCTATGGTGAACGCTCTATACAGGCACGATATAAGAAATTATCAAATGAACATTGCAAGAAGTTTATAAATATTTTACAAAGCATCTCACTGATGACATATAAATTGGCACACTTAGTGTTCAGATTCTGCTTTTTAACGGCATTATAACCGACAATAACGGAACTAGCAGATACAGATATCACAAAATGAACCTAACTTTGTAAAAATGCTATAAATCTATTAAATTCTAACGACCTCATATCAGCTTTTCCGGCAGATGTGGTGGATGTTTCAGATGTGAAGACGTAGCTTGCAGGGGCTCTAGGTGAAGTACTGAACACGTGTATCATGGATGACATATACTGACTAGGTCTACCTGCATGTGCATTGTGCGTGGCAAACTGTAGCGCATCAGTGTACGGACAGAACGTGCAGCACAGGCATCTCGTTAGTGTACCCGGTAGTATTGTATATTAAATGCATGAATAAGCGCATCTGAGACACCTTATCCCACCGATGTAGTGAACGTATTTATATAGACGGACAAAATAATTATTATATCAATAAAATCAAACTTTTGACGTTAATAATAAAATTTTCAGCGCGCTAGGTTTATAAAAAGTTTACGTTGGGAAACTCATGTCCGCCGTGTTCTGATAATTTGAGAAAATATTGATCCAGAATTATAAGATAAGCCATAGGAAGATGGCCTTCGGGTTAACCATTTCAGTTAAGAATGACCCTTTTATAAAAGATCTGCAAAAATTGTGAGCTTCGGTCATATTAAACTCTCTCATATTAAACTCTCTCACATTAAACTCTCTCACATTAAACTCTCTCACATTAAACTCTTTCTCTCACATTAAAGTCTCTCACATTAAACTCGCTCACATTAAACTCGCTCACATTAAACTCGCTCACATTAAACACTCTCATATTAAACACTCTCATATTAAACACTCTCATATTAAACACTCATATTAAACATTATCGTATTAAACACTCTCATATTAAACGCCCTCATATTAAACACTCATATTAATGAGCGTGTTTGTCCATAATTTGAGACGCATTGATGGGTATTTGTTGACAAGAGTTGAAGCGCGACTGGGCGTTAACTTTTTTCGGTTCATCGACGGTAACGTCAAGTCGGTGAAATCACTGATTAAAACTGTGAGCTAAAATGCAATTTGATGTTGTTCAAATTTTGCTGTCATTTTGCGATGCCAGTATGCTCATACTAGTCTAAAAATACAAATTCTGCTGTGAATCCATTGAGGCATTCCACATTTATAAATTTATTAACAGACAACCATGCGCTAGTGCTGCCAAAAAGTAACTGAAATGCCGCAATGCAGAAGTATTTTGGGCTTCAAGAAAAACTGCCATATATATACGTAATATATGTATGCTCAGGTATAAAGGATGATGTTATTTCCTAAGTCGTATTAAATGGGAAAAGGTAACCGATTCAAAATTTCTAAATAAAGTCAATTCACTCCAAAATTTACCAACGCACAAGAATTTTTAGCATTAGCTGGTCCGGGAAAAATGCATCTGAATAGATTTCCACAACATGATTTCTGCACTGACTTTGTACATCCGCCCAACTTAGAGGGTCAACAATTTGGTTTACGCTAGATTTATTTCATCAGTATTCCAAAATAAAAGTCATCCGAGCAGAGAAAGCACGAAAGTCAATAATTTAGTATGATTATCTTAAAGTAATTATCTACTCATGGTTCAAGTCATGTCCTGAGCTTCCATATTTCTCATGGATTCTTAAATCTCTGGAGCAAAGGTAAATCAAACCACAGTAAACCACTTTTGACTTAAACTTGTTTTATTGCCACATGCGGCAAGATGACATGCGTATATATGCTACGCATGCCTCCGAATCCAATCTGTCACAGTGGGGTAGTGTGCGTTCCACCAGGCAATATTCACCCGAACTTCTTCCATCTGCTGCTCAACTGCTCGTTCGCCAGCGCCCAGATGACCAGCCTGCTCTTTCTTTAGTTGCTCCAGCTGAAGAGGTTAGAGTTATTAGGGGCAATGAATGTCATATTATCACAAAACTATTTCGAACAATTTGAATAATGCATTTACGGTCTTAGATTATGGTTCGCAGTATTGCACATTGTGATTGTGTTTGCAAATTCAAACATGTGAAGTTTGAAAAAAATCTTGGGTATGAAGACGTTTCTGCTTCTTACCTGCATGATAGTTTCGTTACTGCTGAATCTTTTTGTTGTAGACTTCAACATTGTGGCCAAATTTCTGTTGTTGGAGCCCAAGCTATTGGAATAAATACGCAAGCTCTATGTTAGACACGTACGTAAACATTTTCATTTACGTAAGGTATTACAACGTTATCATGACTTATTGATTAATTATTCACAGATGTTCAAAGTTTTTTACTATAATTTGTCCATTAAAATGAAGATAATGCCGAGTGCCTCACTAGAGCGCAATGCGCTGCCAGTTTGTCCTGAGGAAGCGCCAGGCCAGAGCGCGGCCAGCGGGTTGCCCGGCCACATCCGCGACGATGGACGGAGCCTCGTGCTTCCTGATGCCAGAGTCCGCGCTGAACGCCAGCCACAGGTACCTATTGACACAACCTGATTAACTCGTCCCGACGGTAGCATGAACGAAAAGAAACCAGGGTAGCTGTATAAGACACTCTCGTATCCTCAGAAAAGAGGATACATTGACCCTCACGTTGGCAGTATAGAAACATGAAAACCACAGTAAGGGAAAATGACAGGTTATGGAATTTGACTAGATCTCAAAGGTAAATTATTTAGGATCAAACTTTGAATAGGCTCAAAAAGCGCCAACGGCATCACCTTGTTACACACTAGATTGACTAGAAAATACAAACTACCTATCTAGGAGCCACAAGTGTCGTGTGCACGCCAGAGCGCTGAGAAGGTGCGAGCGCTGGGCTGGTGGAGATGCCAGGGCAATGCTCAGGAGGCCTGACCAAGCATCCTCCTCTGCCTCCGCCACGCCGGTGCAGAGAACCGTGTAGCGGACAAGCCCTGGGATGACAGCCCTGTGAAAATTGAAGTCGTGTGAATGCAGAAGAGCACGGTAAGTTATTTCAATGCCCAGCTCAGTGGCAAATATAGCGCAATAACAACAATAATATTCGTTAGATAGCGCTAGTCTTTTGATGGTCAATTTTGTTGATTTCTGAAGTAGATGTATTTCGTCATACGTACGCGGCGATTTTTATCTAGGAATAAATATATTTTTCTTTCTATCATCAATCCCGCTACGTCTACTAACGGCAAAATTGACGGTGATCGACCCATCAGAGGCCGCGCAATTATAAATAAAGTTTGCAACTGCGTCAGCCAATCACTGATGGCTTTTGAAGCTAAACCCACCAAACAAACGAGCTGCTACTTGCATTTAGGCCGCTGCGTGTACTTTAGCGAGTTTCTATGGCGCGACCCCTAGCTGAGCGCTGCAATGCTACGCACGAGCCCCCGCTCCATCCTCAACCGAAATGTTGTGCAAGCTTATCAAACGAAAGAGCCAATTTAAGATGAACCGGCCCACCTGGAGGATTATTGTGCAAAGACCAAAAGCAAAACTTAGTTGATTATCAAACAAGACTGAGATGTTTGCTGTTAAAGAATTATTGAAGGCGTTCAACATCAATCGATTATAGCGGACACGAGTCAATCAGGGTTAATTATTGGGTACTGCCTGAAACATTTCGAAGATGAAAATTACGATTGCATAGTATGAAATTGCTCTTCAGGTCAGCATTTTATTCGTATTATTAAGCACATCGTGTCACGAAGGCTGGCAATATAAAGCTAGTCCATTAACCTTAGATAATATGAAAATGGTCCATTGACCATTCAGATCACCATCGAGCGTCTTTTTGCTGTGTGGCAAAATTTCACGATTTGTGAATTTTCAGACATTTATGTCATTAAACATGTTCTATGAGATCTTCAGCCCTCATAAAATATTCTCGAGTCTCCCGAAATAATAAATTAGTCGTTTATTCAAATTCAGATTTTGAAGTAAAGTGTGAAGTTGGGCAAAGCTTGCTTCCGGCATGTGCCCCCATTATAGATAGACGTACGGCGACAATGGCTAGTACATCGCTGATCTGCCTTTTTACGAGGATCAGCGTAGTCTGCAGTCTAGGCTATGAAGCTGAGTGTGGCTATCTTATGCTCAGGCTGGGCATCGTCTCCAGGGTAAATTTGGAGCTGGCTAATCATGAGATAAATTTGTGACTATTTACGCCCGCACGTATGAGCAAATCTAAGAATATATTCAAACCTAAACGAAAGCCCGCATTAAATATAATACGAATATTCATCTAGATCTAATCAATATAATAAGTTTGTGAAATATTTTTGATCTCACCACGAATTAGAAGACTAGTCAAACGACAGGCCACAGAAATGTCGAAGACATCAACTCCTAACTTCTTGAAATCTTACGACAAGCATCGAGCCATCGACCAACAGTCTCTAATCGAGCACTCACTTGGTGCTGTTCTGGCTTGACCATGTCTTGTAGAGACTCCTTGCCCTTGCAAGGCAGCCTTTGTGCCCCAACAGGCATGCCCATTTAACTGCCAGAGCCCGAGCGCTGCGCTCGGTGTAGGAAGCTTCAGGGTTGTCATCAAACCCAAGGCTTTCATACCAAGGAGAAACCAAATGCAGGAAGTAAGCCTGGAAAAAAGTTTTGCCGTAGTAGTACAGGTACTATAAGAACGGGTAGTACCATACGATGACATTATTTAATTGTTGAATACATTTTGCAGAACTGGTTGTGGGCAGGGCTGAAACGATGCGGCAGGGTCATTTACGATAAACTCCATGCATATTGAACCTTTAGTCACATAAGGTTGTGTTGCAGCATAACTCAAACTTGTTATGACAAAATTCTTAATTTTTTAGTATGAGGAAAATGTAATAAGATAAATCCAAAATGATGGAAAATTGGCATCGTGCTGATGTCGGGTTCAGTTGATAGATAAATAGTTTGTATACTTATTCAAGAACAGTTTAGAATTACGATCATAACTAGGTAGACTACCTATTAAACTGTAGACTACTGAGAGACTATAGAGGAGAGGGACTTCGCTCTGTCCTGCCGAGACAAAAGTCTCAAATATATACACGTCAAATTGAACAATTCAGAAAGACAATTCAACAATCCAAAACACAATAATTCATAGACACTTATTGAAGAGCACTAATCCATATTCACTCGTACCCGAGAATAGTGTACTGCAGCCTATAATAGCTCGTCAGGCTCGCAGGGACAGCAGAGACAAAGTGCTCTGACTTGACTGGCTAGGCCTTACAACAGGTACTATTCCGACAAGTAGCTAGTGCGGATGACCTACTTACAGGCATTAAACAATAACATGGCAGCCTTTCGCTTAAAATACCTAAAACCGTCAGATAACTATTTAAATAAGCGAATTTTCTACAATGAATTCTTATGAGAAGACCTTTAAAAAATAATTTTGGTGATTGCTAAATGAACGGCAAATCATCATAACGCGCTTATAATTAGCACTTTACTCCGTCCATATGGACGGCGTGTGGTAGGAGTCTAAATCATTTTTACATTACAAAATGTTATGGCGTAAAATCTAATTAAGAACGTTAAGAATGACCTAAAAGTTTTAGCGCGCGTACCTTGTGAAAGTCCCTCGCCTAACACTGGCTGCACACGTAACCCTAAAAGTACATAAGTGACGAATGCCACCTGACCTTCAAATCGCCGAACGCTCTGTCTTGCGATAGAAGACCATAGAAATACGAGAAACCTCCCAAGGCAGCCTCCCATGGCACGATGTGAGCTTCATTCACCAGGTACCGAGTCATGTCCAGAGCGATTGAATAGTTCGTATAACCTGCAAGCAATACAGTTCACTGAATATAATAAATACGACAGTAGTTTGAAACAGTAGAAGTTAAGAGGACTGATAGCACATTGTATGAACCGACTTGATTATCGCCTGATGGTTCTTTCTCTACGCTTGAAAAAAAATGAAGAAACGTAAAGTCAACTCTCTCAATGATTCCAGTTAATATCATTGTTAGTTACCAATCTCCATTCAAGAGCCTGGAATCATGTACTTGTCTTGCGTGCCAACGGTTAAAATATTCAGCGTACGTACAGAGCATATAAGGTGAAAATGCGAAAATAGAAACAAATCACAGAACAGAGAAATGCAGAACATTAATCAAATGATAATTCGTACCAGTCCGGTGGTGACACCCTGAAGGGGGTTTTTTGGGAACGAAATGGAAATTACATAAAACCACAAACCATACAAGACAGTAAAAAGGAATCCATCAAATTTTGAAGTCAAATCAAATTTTAGCAATAAAAGAGCCTAACATATATATGAAATAGCAAGTGAAACATTTTGGTGCTGAAGATAGAGTTTTCATGAGATGCTGATACACGGGGCGAGTAGTCGCGTCGATTAGTCGAATTGAGTCGACTCCAAATATTTGTGATGATTAACGTCTTCAGACGCGACTAGCTAGTGCATTGAGCCCACAGCACTTCAAGTTGCTCTGAGCCAGTTGAGTCGAGTTACTCGAGTAAGCCCAGTACCGCCGAGGCCACTGTAGTGTGTATTACTGTGTCGCTCTCGGCCGCTGTGGTGCGCGCTGAGCACCAGTGTCGCTCTCGCTTGCTTCCACCATGCACACACCTTACTCGACAACTCTCAACGTCGCACTGGCACCGACGGACTGTACCGAAAATACTCTCTTCGTGTATAGGCTCTCAGCCGGAAAAACTAGGAATTTGAGTAGTCGACTCGACTAATCAACGCCACTACTCGCCACGTGTATAAGCACCTTATATACAAACATACCTTCCTTCGCAAGCTCGAGAGCGTCGTCCAGGAATGCAGCTCGCTGTGAGGGCGGGAACAGGTCGTGGCGTCGTTGCAGTTGTTGGTTCAGTAGCTTCCAGTCGTTAGCAGCGTAATTCACGCGGTAAAATCCACTGGCATTTAAGTTCAACGCTATCCAATCTTCCAGCCTAGTTGATCCGTCTTCGCGCAGGAAACGATCTCATAAGTAACTCTCGGATTAAAAATGTTTTTTAATTTCATTTTACAATACATCACCGTTTCCTAAAAATGAAGCTTAATAACTCGAGAATTCAACAAAATCATAGAGCGTTTGAAATAAAATTGAAGCCCAAAGAGCACGGTCGGGTTCAATGTAATATCAAGTTCTTACTGATAGTCAGTATTTGACGCGGGTCATCAGGCATCCAGGCCTGAGGAGTGGAGACGCGGAACTCTGGTGCCGCGGCGGTCGTGTAAGTGATGGGGATCCACCAGCCTGCAGATGAGTTGCGGCTGCCGAACAGGAATTGTTCCTTGGAATACGATCAATATTTTTATTAATGTCATTGAATTTGAAATCAATAATATAATTAGTAAACATTGATACAACATAACTGCAAATGAACACATAATACTGAACCGGACTTTCATTAGATATATAGTTAATAACTAGTCAGGCAAAATCAGGTTCTCATCTCAAGCGATGTATTACGATAGAGTGTGACTAGATCCTTATTTATCTTCGTAAATTCTATTCATCGGTCATTCCTGGTACACAGCTTTACATAATACAGAGGCCAACAGTTGTGAAGTATTTATACCTACAAAGTATACACCATGTACACTTTCAATTAGGTTAAAAAACCCTTAGCCACGTTTCCCATAAATTAACGCTCAATGTTAGTTGCCTATACGCGTAGTGCCTTCCTTCATACCTGAGTGAGTAGAATGGCGTCTTCGGTGCGCGTGACGTTGACGATTGGGTATCCCTTCTTGTGCGTCCACGTCACCATTATTGTCTCGACAGAAACTCCGCTGGGGAGCGAGTCGTTGCCCGAGGCGGTGAGATGGCGCCACAAGTCGTACTGATCAGCTGACGAGTACTGCCTGTGCCACACAGATTACAAATCTAATACCCAGTCAAAATTTGAAACTACAGCACAAGACTATTTGGGGCTTCCGGCTCAAAGTAAAAAATTTAATAATAACTATTTCAACCTCTGAAAAGCCATTTCCTGCGCTATCTTCTTACATAAAATATAAACGTACATAAACGCGCGTTCCTACGAGTAATATTAGCTCGAAGCTCAAAGGAATTGATGTGTCAACTGCTTCATCGATTCATCGAAATTTCCTTAGAATTTTTTTTGAGTGTTTGCCATTTAGTTGGTACTACAACTCTCGAATTTCCAAGATTAGATAAAACAAATTGCGCTATTACGTTATTCTTCTGTATACATATATTGTAAAAATATAAATGTGAATCCATCAAATCATTTTTGTAAATACGGCGCTTTGAAATCAAACTATTCGCAAAACAGTATTTCTTTAGTACAATATTCACTAATGTTATGCATCTTCCTAATGAACTAGTACCAGCTGAATTTTATCTAACAGATTAAATTCAATTGAGACTGATCGATTGCTTTCAAACTGATTGCCACTAATGTTGACATATATTTGTTTCCTTTTTGGGTTTTCCATTTCATTTGTTATTGAAGTTAGTGAAAAGTGTTATTTATTTCATCATCCACCTGCAAACTTTGCATTTTTATTTGCACGAAGTTCACACAGAAAATTGCAGGGGTCACCCACAGCTGCTGGAGGTAGTTGGACAACCCAGCTCTAAAGGCGTTCGCTCCCACGAACTTGTACACCATTCGTAGAAGTGAAGCCCCTGATCGTGAAGGCCAAAAACAAAGGATATTTCATGATCTATGCAGGGTTCATTTCTAAACTTCTAAATTATTCTCTATTCATCAATTATCCAGTTGCCCAACTTTTTTTCATCTGAGAGTTTCAGAATAGATTTGAAATACAACTTTACAGACATTTGATTTGTTGAAAGGATATCATGACAAAGTAAATTAATTACACATAAAAGACTAGGAGCATTTTATTACATATTAGAATTAACGCAGGCGTCATAAGGCTAAGGCCTGATTATTATAGTTGCTATACCGGCATCGTAGTTCTACACTCACATTTAATAAAAAATCTCATGGCAAAAGAAACATCAATCACTCAATTTCGAAGGCCTTCAAGATTGCCAACATCAAATAATATATTCAAATATTCACTAGCTACGCCAAATCCTGAAGGCTACAACTACACAACCAGCGGTACAATTACCTTTTTCATAAGAAATTTTATCGAATATTTCCCCTATTTCGTCAGGATGGTTGACAGGAACGTTGATAGGATGTGAAGACTGCAGACTGTCGAGAGGCATCACCGACTGTTGGTAGCTGGTGACGAATTTGTCCATGGCGTCCCAGCTGGGCTGCACCTGAAATCAGAGGACCCTGGATAATAATTTCAAAGTATGTCTTCATTATACAAAAGGTTATTGCGTTAGTTGCAGTAGTCGAATAAAATGAGCTGTGTGTCAAAAATTTTCCTTTAGATGTGTTTCTGCTTTAACCAGCCAAACAACTTCATTTCTTCAAAAATGTCCTTTTCTTGATAATAAAATTAGTATTAGAGTTTCCAATAGAACCTCCACAATCAGAATAACCAACAATCTGACAATCTGCAGTCAGAATACAATCACTATCTATATTGACTGCAACTCATTCATGCAAAAAATTTCAGGGAGAAAATACTGGGGCCAACGCCTGATGTGTGCTATATGCAGGAGTAAGCGAGACTTACCGACTCGACAGCCAAGTAACCCATGAACGAAGCAAAGCCTTCCTTGAGCCAGAGCTCAGACCACCACGCGGGAGTGACCAGGTTACCGAACCACTGGTGGGCCACCTCATGACCGGTGAGGTACAGAGCGTAAAACTGACTGCCGGGGGACGCTCCAGGCTCGATCACCATAGCAGATTCCCTGCAGAGAAAAATAATTTCATTTTATCGTTATTCTACTGCAATCTAAAATTAAAGTTCGTCAATTATTAAAAAGTTCGATGCAGGGTTCCTTGCACCAATTAATAATAATGGTTTCGTGTTAATTAAAAACGATAGGTAACATTGAGCACAATAAGTCCCTTGGACAAAGAGGTGGCTTTGTGTTATGACAGAAATAAAAGGCATGGAACTTTCAGTCGTGTACCTCTGGCTCTTCGGTAAACTTACACTCTTATCATACGTTATAGCAAAGCACCAGCTATTCAAGAGCTCCAAAATACTCGTACGATGTTGCGCACCTCCACCTTTATACACTAACACATGAGCATCAGCTGCCCACACGTCCTCGCCACCTTCACAAATGGTCATCTTCACCTGGAAGTCTGTTGTAATTAGTGTTCTCAGGTGCATTTAACCCAACAACTTTAATCACACACACCCTCAACAGTGACACGACGGCATGATGCCCCGGGACGTCAATTGCGGCATCCCATGTGTCCTGGTTAAAGTGGAAAAATATTTTACCTGACGTCTCTCACGACTGACCGAACTCACAGAGAATTGCTGCCAGCGGAGAAGTGACTGAAGACTTACCGTTCATCATCACTAAATATTTACTTTCTAACCAGTGCACATTTGTAACTATCAATATCTAACCTGTACGTAATTAGTCCCCAATTCTCCATGGCACTAAATTTAAAGTCCGGTACAGCAACCATGTCGAGTTTTGGCAAAGCGTAAGCGATGCCGAAGTACTCCTCCAGAAACTGCAGAATTGCCGGGGTGGCATCGTACACGTACGAAGTTTGATTCAGTACGGCGGGCCGACTCCAAACTGCAGAGTTCACAACATTACAATTCCGATTATGAATAACCTAACGCAGATTTTACTACATACCATCGAAAGTCACGCCTACTTGCCTGCAATCAAATGATAAAATCTCGAGCATTTCGCCTCGCAACAGATGGTTTCTACATGCATATCTTTGTCCTATCCAAATCCACGAAACGGCATATATGAAGTAAAAAACTTATCACTACTTCACAAGTTTAAAATGTAGGTTTTATAATGTCGAAAAATAGAGAGACATCGATTGTTAACTCATGGTAGGTATATTTTGAACATATAATGAGAGCCTATCATCATAATAAGATTTCTGGCTCTTGCATATGTTTATCGAAGATTGACACTAACAAACCTGTAAAAGAAGTGGAGTTCAATCGCTTCACAGGCATCGACTCAAAGTCGCTTATGTGAAAAGCCACGATGAAAGTCGACATGATCGGAGTCCGTTCAAAGATAGTTTCAGATTTGCCATCAGCGCTGCGTATATCAGAAACAGTCTATTGGTTAACACCACGTTTTGATCCGCGAAATCATTTAAATTTTATTATTGGGAAATGAAATTTTATATTCCTGAGATCTCTTTCATGCAAAGATAATAGTGCTCCCAGCAAACAGAGATAACGTTTGAAGCACTGACTCATAATTACTAATAAGAGAATTCTTATAGCCAACCAAAAGATAAATGATCTTGAATCCGTACGATACTTCTCCTAGAAGCTGAAAGAGTCGAATAGAGCGTCTACCTTGACAATTTTTAGAATATAATTGAATTATAGATCACCCATTAATTTTGTGTCTAATAACAAACAAGTCTCTTCTAACCGAGTTTTTGAGGATTTGGCAGGCATGTTGCTGTGAGCGGTGTAGTTGGGTGGATGCACCAGTGTTATATCAAATGTGCTCTTGTACCCTGGCTCATCGAAGCCTGGGAACGCTCGACGAGCGTCTGTGGGGGAGAACTGGGTCGACGCCAGCCACCTGCACGACGGCCAAGAGTGTTAGCTCGACGTAAGTATCTCGCAGCATTTGAGTAGCCATTGAATTATGTTCTTTAAAGATATGCTTTAACGTCAATTAGGCAATATGTGATGGCAGCCCAGAAAAGTTCAGCGGCACAAAAAACTGCATCTTTGAGATCCCGAGACAGCTTCGAAGGAACTGTCCGCGTTAAAAGACGCATAAGTTGCTTGTCCGCTTGAATACACAAGCAGGCTGGTCTTTAAATATTCTTAGTTGTCCATATAAGACGACACAAGAAAAATATTTTACAAATGTAAAGAAAAATTTTAACACTGCAGTATTTTTGAAAGATATTATAACACCGAAGTTTTATCGCATGCATCAATGTAACTAGACTTTTACACAACCAAATCGTTTCATGCTTTAAACATAAAACAGTTCCAGAACTATTTGAATGCAACGTTCGACCTCTTCCTCGGTCATCCTGTATTCAAATATATATCAAGCGTGCGTTTACCTCTCAGTGTCGTCTTCGGATTGGTACATGGAGCGATAGAAGCCGACGAGCTTATCATTCAGCAGACCGACATACCGGAGGGAGATGTTGCACAGTCCACCTATCATCAGAGGCTGCTCCAGCTCTGCTGTATACATCTGGCGGTATGCGTCATATGTCTGACGTACTACCGGCACGTCTACCGCCACTTCGCCCTCTCCCCACTTTTCCACCTGCATGAATATAAACTGCATCAATCTGTTTACTCTTGCAATATGATTTAATTAGTGGTTTAATCAATGATGTCCATTTGCGCAAGAGTTAAAATCATATATGCCTCAATCAGGAAATTTTTGACCAGAAAAATGTGGTCACTTAAACTTCAATCATTTAATTTATGCGATCCCACCTACTTCGTTCCAGCATGTTACAATTAAACCCAATTACAATGGATTCACGACTCTCACCTTGACCGTATCATTAAGTATAATCATGTCCAACATGTTTAGAGTGATGTTGTTCGTAGTCTGTTCTACTCTCATCATGAGGACCAATTCCCCCTTGAGTGTCCACGGCGACTCTAAGAAAGGCTCCAGAGTGAGTCGGTAGTTCAGGGGCCGCAAGCTGGTCGGCAGGCGAGCTGATGGGAGAGGCGATGCGATCTCACCCGAAGTATTGCTGTCCGACGGCGGCAGACACGACATGGCTCCTGGCACCGCACCCAGTGCCTGGAAATGGCAGTGAACATTGAAATCGAGAAATAATTCACGCTAATTATAATCTTAAACTCTCCACGTCTCAGTAAATTCACGTTTCTAGAAAGTAGCTCTCGAATGTTGCAGCTAAGCAAATGACAGCTCTAACAGTTTAACTGTTGATTCGAAGTAAACAATATTGAATGCAGTATAGATTGAATACATAACTAAAATTGTGTTTAGTTTAGTGGCCAAATGTTTACTAGCGCTTCAGCTATTTAGCTATCTCGCACCGAAAGTCAAGATGAATATCACCAAAGAGGCGGAAGGTCTCAATTATTCATCACCCACAAGGGGTGGTAAGTCTCAGATGTCCAGCCCGCTGAAGCTGGCTCAAAAGAAACAGCGTTAGCATCTCAAAGAGACGAAGTGACAAGGAGGGACAGGTGAAAAGCAACAGAAACGAAGACACTCGAACAAGAGGTCGCTTACACGGGACGTCGGCCGCCCGCACGAGAGAGACAGAGAAGGGAAATGTAAGGAATCCTACCTACATAATAACTTAACCCCACAACAGAGACCTACAGTCAAACACCGTGAGCTCAGCGGTGGGGCGCTCAGGAACAATCCCCCTAGGAACGCGAAATCCCATAGGACTTCTGACGCGCACAGACACCCGTCAGAAGTCCCCCCTGAGGGGTAAAATTGTTTATAACTTACATTGTAACACCAAATATTTTCGTGACAAGCCATAAGTGACACAACAAGGATAACACAACCCACCGTACGGGATAGACGTAAGAACACCACGAATATAACAAAACTCAGCGAACATCTCTTCATCTTCCACATCAACATTCCTTCACTCCAATTACGCATAGTTCTTGCAGTAGGTCGAGCCGTCGCCTGTGGGTAAACACAGTTGAAATGGAAAGCTGTAATAAGTGAGACATGTGTAAGCTGAAATGAGCTTGCGGTTCCTGATTAAATGCTTCATTTCATTCTATTTTCTCTCTTCGATATCGTATAGTAAAATTGACCTGTCCCATTCGAATACAAGTAAGCAATGCAGGAATCACAAATTCTAAAATCGCAGTTACAAGTTACGGCGGTCGGGAAAAACTTGTATTGTGTAGGCTGTAATTACGAACACGGGAGTGAAAAGTACTCGAGGAGAACAAGGTAAATCTGGATATGTTATAGAATTTTATGATAAAACTTTTGAAGAACATTTTCTTAACAATTCTTTTGTTCGGTTATATTAGCTTCTATCTCGGCATCACGAATGGAATAGTTTCAATGGACCTGGACGATCAAGCAACAGACTCGTCATCGAAAAAACGTTGTATTTAGTAAATAATGGCTAGAAGAAATGAATCGTGGTTCGGAATTTTTCAATTCTGTTCTTTATTATAAAAATATTAAATAGATAATAAATAACTCGTTAAATCTGTTTAAAAGAGCATTGATAGAAAATGTAATGTACGAGTTTATGCTTATTTTCACTTAATAACCTGAGCAACATGTCCATAGATCATATAAGTTTAATCAAAACATTTGGGAGATAAAAACGATGTTCGAACACGAGAGTGACGAGACGTGTATTAAGAGACAAGCTCTAAGTTGATAAGCTCGCGACCTCTAATCGTTTGAAAATCTTGCAAATGCAGTCGCCATAAAAAACCTACCAATCATTTTTTTTTATTTTTTGTAAGGTATTGGCGTTCGTACAATCGGGTATACGAAAATAATATATAGTCTGTGGAAACTACTCCATATGTATCCAGACATTTCCAGGAACCGCAGAGCAGACGAAACCTGTTTTAACGAAAACGAAGCGCAGAGCAGACGAAACCTGTTTTAACAAAGCGCAGAGCAGACGAAACCTGTTTAAACAAAACCAGCGGTTCTAACAAAGCATCGACACCGAGATCATCAACCTGATAAGAATCATCACTGAGGAGGGAGGCTGTATTGAATACAGAAACGATTGCACCTCCTAAAAAATCCTTAGTTATCATGATCATTTAACATTTCATTTATACGTTCAAAGGGCAACGTAAGCATCAAATAAATAAATTTCGATGCAATGTCAAATAAATGATTTTCCCTGGCCTGTAAGCTTTTTCTAGTCATTCTACATCAAACTATGCTGAATGTTAGCATATGATACATTGCACTACCCAGCTATAGATGAATAACCTTCGATACAAGCGCCAACTAAAACGCCCAACGTTCAAATTATAGAGTAACATTGAACTTATTTGGTAACATTTGATCACGTCAAGAAATACGAACACGCTTTTTCTGGATTGCTGATTTTATCCCTTTTTGAATCGTTAAATTGATGCAAGTTAAAAAATAAAAATAAAAAGTTTTCACTTGTTAAAAAATGTGAACCCGGACTCGACAACAACTCGTACTCAAACTATGTGGCAACTGGCAAATTTTTGACAATATGTACTTTCAGCTTCAAGCGAAAAATTTTCATTTTCACTTGAAGCATATCGATAGACATTGCGAGACACGCGAACAGCATAAAAAGGTTTCCGTCGTAGATGATTATTAAATTATTGCTCGTATAACAGTTGAAAGTTAAGCACAGTTCCTGTATGTAAGTTGATCCAATCTCTGCTCATGGAAATGGAGCTGATCTTCTCACACATGCTCACCTGGTGACAGAAAAACGACAACTGCCATTTACTCTTTCCGCTGGTGTCCCGACCGACACTCGCCTGATGCCTCGACGGAATCTTTTCCTGGAGCTTTTCAATGAATAGTGAAAACAATGAAGATCTTTAATTTATTTATTACCGTTTTTAAATATTCACTGCTTTTGCAAGTTATCTACACAGAAATATTGAAAAAAATTGCACTTACCCATTGACTTTTGCGAATCATGATTGACGATGTGTAAATTACTCAACTTCATGATGTTTGATATTTTTCCATATATTAAGGCCATACGGGGACGCACTGACCTCTTACTTAAGGGCAATTGCGATCATAGAAGGCGGGTACTGAAACTGAGATTAACGAAACCTTCATGAATTCAAATTCAGAGCCCAGCAGGGATTATGTTTGCATTACTTGCTTTTATTTTATCTGCATACTATAACTCTAGCTTTGTTATTACGTAGAATCCTCTATACCTGTTGATTCATAGTTAGCAAGCGTAACTGGCGATGGAAAATAATTTACAAACTCGCGCAGCGTGACGCGTTGCAACCAAATAAAATCGATGGAAACGGACTTTAAAATTTTCACATTGAATTAATATCGTTTATGTCATGACATTCATTTTGTTATTCTCTTCTTTATTATTCACACATAGCAAACAGCCACTTATAATAGAAACGTTCTTTGTGTCCAAATAAGCTCAAAAACCAATGAAATAATCTTACAGGAAATGAAAGGTTAGAAAGAATTAGAATTAAGAAGAACAGTGCTGTGAGGCTACACGGACGATGACAGTAGTTCACTAAAATATGTCTTGATTAATTAGTCCAATTAAGATCCAACTGATTCCCTCATGATAAGAAGGAAAATTAAAATAAAAAACATAAAAATGACTTGGGTTAACTCCTGGATGCTGACATCATGTCACTTTAGGAAATGACGAACAGGAACATCACAGATACGAATTAATACCGAGTATGAATAGCCCCGAGTAATACGTGATTTTGAGGAGGGATTATTGATAGTTCACATGTGACAGAATTAAAATTACTGCATATGGAATGTCGCGACTAATGCGCGAATGGACTAATTGTTATAGGCGTTTCTTCTAAAGCAATGTGTCTGTTGCTAAGATAAGCGTCAATAAAAATTACTTTTACCAATTATTAAAAGTTCCCCAAATGCTCATACTAGAAATGAAAATGGAGTGAAAAATATTTCGACTCGTAAATAAAATCATTTTCTGATCTAAAATAATTAAAATGTTTGAATTTCTTTACAGATGCTTTACATTTGTAAACGTCAGGAAAATCAGCAACCGGATCGTCTTCTCTAATGAGGAAAACACAGAGCAAAAAGACCATAAAATGTATCAGGCACCAATGGTGCAGTGCACTACGATACCAAGTATTTGTACCTCAGGTCAGATTTGCCATCAACAGTGAGATCCAGCACATACACGTCTGTGCAATGCATGTAACCTCTCGATAGGACCATAAGGTTTCATTATATGTCAGTTTGAAAAAAACAGCACGCGTTTTGGGGAAGGTATTCAACAAAAAAGTAATCTGTTTTCCGTCTCTTCACGGCCATCAGCGTTTGGTTCCTTGCATCCATCCTTGGTGTCTAAGAACAAGAATGCACGAAAATATTTTTTAGCTCTTTCGATGACGGCCACGGCCTCAATGTCCACGGCACAAAGGATTGCTGGTAAAATTCAATCACTTTTCATAAAATATAGTAGGGTATAGAGGACGATCCCAGATCGAGCTTCAGAACACATCCAGCCGTCTCTTATGTCTCAAGAGTGAACGCCTCTACCTTCTCGGACTTCCCTGCAAGGTGATGAACAATTGAAGAGCCTAACACTAAAATAAGGTTAAGCAATAAAGCTCCTCTCATTTTCAGCGGCACTTGTCATTGCAGTAAACTAGAGATGAGAGGCTCTTCGGTCTTCAGCTGCGAGGCTCAAAGTCAGATATTTACCTATAGTCTCTCTAAAAGAGAACTGAAGCATCTAAATGGGAAAACAAACACGCTTTGTGAGAAACGGAGAAGCCGTTCGAGCCAATCAGATAGAACCGTTCATTTGAACCTAAAATAATGATCATATCAACATTCTGCTGTCTATCTTGTAATTCGCCTGATGATCACCAGTATACTACGAAAAGTTTCTTGTGTTCATTCCACCTCTCTCCAACGCAAGGGAATTTAGGGCCGGACCAAAGAGCGACTCTTTAGCCATTGTGTTTAGAATCAGTACGAAAGTCTCCACCAGATCGGCACGCTGCCCGTAAATATTTCAACTTCGCGGCGGTGTTTCCGGTTACACATGGCTGGAAGGTCGTCCCCAACACACCCTACTAAGTCTGGGGCCCCTCAAGGCGCAAATCCTACCGCCAGTCCTGTTTATGTACTTCTTAGAGATATTCCGTCGATCCCAAACGTAACCACAGCAATCTACGCAGACGATATCACTATGTTCGCGGTTTCGGACACTCTGGCCGACGCAAGTGACAGACTTCAGAGAGCGATAGACGGGTTTGTGATCTGGGTTGACACTTGGTCCCTCACCCTAAATCCCACAAAGTCAGAAATTCAAATATACACCCGAAAACGTAAAATACATCCCCTGCCTTTCCTCTACATCTCTGGCACGCCAATTCTAAATATCCGCAACACCGCCTATTAGGCCTCATAATGGACTCTCCCACCTTCACTTGGAAAGCCCTCATAGACATTCTCTTTAGACGTTGTCAGAAACGACTGAACATCCTCAGGGCACTGAGTGGATCTACCTTTGGAGGAAACTGGACGGTCCTTCTCCGCTTTTACCAATCCTACGTCCGAGGGTGCACCGACTATGACCTGGCCATCTACTCATCAGCATCCCCGTCCATACTGTCAATCCACTCCACCGCCGCACATCTGATCGTGGGAACGTGGAGGTCGACACCTCTTCCAGCCTGTACTGCGCAGCGGGGCTGCTACCTCCGGACTCTCACCGCCATCAATGTACGATCTCCTAATACATTCAGCTTCTCCATCGCCCACCAGCTCACCCTGTACACTCAATTTACCGCCGAGACCGGTACTTCGCTGTTGCTTGGTTCCGCACCCGAACGTATAAGCTCCCTCTAATCTCGAAGACGCTGCACGCGCTGACCCGTCACCAGATTGTACTTCCGCCACCATCACCTGCCCCATTGACCACAGACCTTCCACCGTGGCACGCGCTGACCAATCAGATCTATCTCGACTTCCCCAGTCAAACCAGTCAGGGAGTGGAGGGGGCAGCTGCGGAGTTTTTGTCGAACTTCTGGACACACGCTTTCCAGGTTACTTCGCAATATTCACTGACGGCTCACTCTCAATAAGCCCACCGTGTAGAGTGGGCACGGGAATGGTTATCTCGTCGGTCCCCCACGGAGAGGTATGGCGACTGGACCCACGGCACTTAATTGTAAAAGCAGAACTTTATGGTGGTACGCAGCCGTGCACCAGCACCACCAAGATTGTGCACCAATCAGCCTTGAAAGGAACGCCTAGCATATTTCTGGATGACCACCAATCAGCCGCGGATTAAGCCATCAGTCGGTAACCAGCCCGTGACATCATCTTGCTTTAAATATTAGGAGCTTTACGCCACCATATTCTGAAGCGAATAGCCCAGAGAGTAATGGTTGTCCACCACTGAACGTTGCATCAAATCATCACTTTATACCCTGACTTTAGCTCGAACTGTAACTTGCTGGAAACGGACTGTGACCAACCAGACCAACCAGCCCAGGTCGAAAGTGGAACTGCATGCATCCTGCCGTGCACCACCAGACGGTCACTTTTCGCTCACATCCGGGGTTAGGTTTCAGAAAGCATAGTTCCGGTCCAAAATCTATCGTCCTTCGACGAGTGACTTCCGGAGCTTCGCTAAATTTCGCAACATTTAGCTCACAGCATCTGGGATTAGGTTTCAGATCGCATAGTTCTGTTCCAAAATTTATCGTCGTATGACGCGTGGGCGTTCGACCGTAGGCTGATTAGACACACGGGACAGATACGGACGGCTCCGGCGTGCTCCGTCCGGGTGGTGTAAAATTTTTTAGCGTATTGGCGGACGATGCTGGGCCATTCTACGTCAGGCTACTTTCTTGTGGGCTGATTGATCTAATTCAATGGATGTGATCTGTCTGGTAGCTTGCGGCTCATAATGTTACAGTCAAGAAGTGTTGTAGGCTACGTTCTTTAGGAAAGGGATCATGATAGTCCATTCGAAGCACGGCAATGGTGGTCTCCGACAGGCGTCCCCTTTATGGTAGCTTTCAAGCTATGTCCTATCTCACCGCAAATCGCACCTGGCCAAGTGTCATCTGTACAGACAGCCTGTCGTCCCTGCAGTTGTGGCTACCAATTCCAACTTGCTACACCCACCTTATTTCCTGAGTCCACAACTTCCTCACCTGAATACCAGCGAGAGCAGTTAAGTTCCAGTGGATTCCCAGCCACTCGGGCGTGCCGGGGAACGAAGCAGCAGATAAGGTCGCTAGGAGGGCAGCCGCATCGGAGAGCGTCCCGGTTGAACTCCCTCATGACGTAGCAGAACTAAAATTTATGGTCCACCAGGAGATCTGGCGGTTTTGGCAATCGAAATGGACCTCACCACATGGTCAATTTGTCTTAGGCATGACCAAACTCTCTGTCCGACCATGGCCTCTTCGCACGCTCCAGTCTCGTCGATTTGAGACTCTCTTTGCTCGCCTTCGTCTCGGAACAGCCCCACTCAATAAAGCCCTCCACCAGATCCGTCAAGCTCCGTCACCACTGCACCTCGTGTCAAGTCGCCAAAACAACCCACTACAAATCTCATCGCATGCAAAGATTACGACGAAGCACGATCGCAGCTGCGCCGCCAGTTACAATTACACGGAGTTCAGGCCCTCAGTCTGTCATTGTGTGGAGGAGACACTGCCAGTTCACCTGCCAGTCCTCAGACCTGCCGAGCTCT